GGCCGATCTGATGGGTTCCACCTTTGTTTTGGTTCTTTTCATGCAGATCTTGCTCATCACCTGGCTTGATGTTGTGTCCAATCTGATTCTAGTTCAGGCCCTGAACAAGCAGTCTACAGCGGAACCGCTCACGTCAGGCTCAATCATGGGAAAACAGAACCAAAGGGAGCAACATGGCCATGAACGTGTGCACGTACACCATCAGTCCTCGTGCCACCTTAGCACGACTTTGGGTTCTGAGGAAATACGCCTTTTGCGAGACCATACCCCCTACCCCAAATACCCACGTTGTTAAGGGTATTTTATCGAGGAAAAACAAAAACTGGGTTTCCATGGTAAATACCTCCTTGGGTCGTAGAGGGTCGACATCATAGCCTAAAAAAGGCCGAGTATTTGAAGTAGGGGGTACATTTTGCCAATAATGTCTAAACAGGCACCCTGGCAAAGAGGTGGAGCATTGATTTCTGCAAAAGGCAAGGCAGAAGGAAGCCATGCCTTTGGGGGCACAAGGATCTTTTGGCACCCAAGAAACTACACACACAAACATCAGGTGGGGTTGATTCAGGTCAAGCCAGGTCACTTGGGTAAGATTGAAGGAGGGGGCCGAGCTTTGTTCAGAATTCGGGTGCTGGTTCAAGGCCATCCACTTTGGAGCTTTGGTAAAATCGATGGCCCTGGTAAATGGAATGAAACCAATCTAAACCAGCGCCATATGGTCATGGTCAAAATCCAAATCGTACCCCTCGTGAACATCCGATTCAATCCAACCACTAAAATAGGCTCTAAAATGGGTGGTGAATTCACCGAAACCCCCAAATGGGATACCAAAACGGTTTTGACCACCACTACCATCTATTTCTGCTACGCCCAACTCTTGGAATGTCCATCCATCGTTCATCGTTCATCGTTCATCCGCCAAATGAAAACCCCGTCCTCGGCCGTGCCGTGCACCACGACGCAGCGGTAGTTCATGCCTTGCCGCTTTTGCGCAGGCTCTTTGTAGGAAGGGTGCCAAGACCGATCCAAGAGACACACTGATGGCTGACACATCCACAAATCTCGCACCAGTTGAAATGGATGAAATCTTCTGAATGCTTGAATAGCATGGGATCATTCAACTAATCTACGCTTGGGTTCTGGCTCTTTTTTAGCTGCCGGACAACAATTTGGAAAAGCTCTGCGCGCATTCCTTCGGCTGATCCCCCCCAAGTGGTGGTGCTTCTCCGCATGCCCTATATTTCCCCCAACGTCGTAACCGCCCAAAAGGGTTCGAGATCCTTGCCCGGACCCCGCGTCTCCAGGCGTCCATGTCACACTTCTGGCCAGCGGCTCGTCGGGTTTTTTGGGCGGCGCGGCCCCGCATGGCACCCTTCTGGGGCCGGAAAAGGAATCCGAAGCCCATGTTGGGGGGGATCCTATAAATGACACACCCTTCCATGAGAAAAACTCAAACCAACACGAATCCGAAGGCTTCATTCAGGAAGTCCGAATCCGATTTTGAGAGACCCCAAAAAAATCGCAAGCTCGAGCTTCGGCATCGAAGGCTGCCAAAGCGCTGGAATGCATGCCCGACCGGCCCAGCACCAGACCGTCTTCCAAGGTCATGCAGAAGCACACCTACGTCGCGACCCGGCAGGCCCAGAATGTGCAATTTTCTTTGGGTTTCCCATTCAAAAGCACTGCAAAAATACCCCAAGCCACCTTTGGCCACACAGACACCTTTAGCACCCCTTGCGGACCCCCCAATCTGGGTGAATCATAATATGTCACCAACCTGAAACTTGCGGTGGTTGGGGGGCTGTTCCGCTGTTCCACCATTTGGGGCACCTGCAGGGATCCGTTCTTCAGCAGTCCGGCGCTCACGTGGCCGTGCAGGTACAGATCCTCCCCTTTTCGCCCGTAGATCATGGGGCTCACCCGTGGCCGACCCTCGCCGTCCACGAAGGCCTAAGCCGCCGAAAATCGGGAAGCCCTGTTTTAGTGGCTTCAAAAAAACCAACAAAGTCCGAGGGTTTTTGTATTACACCCTGGGATTACACCCTTGGGAAATGACCCAGAATGGTTGAAAATAACACGGTTTTATCCGGGAATGTGCCGAAAGGGGGTCAATACAAAAACCCTTAGACCAAAAAGAAAACCCACCCGGGTGCCACTGAGACGCCGAAAAGGGCGCGGCGGGCCTTTTTTTCAAGAAACTGGGGCTGGGTTCGAACGACACCCAAATGGTGAACCGAGACGATTCTTGCCATCATCAAAGCCAACCAATGCTTGCTGGCAAATAGACAAAGGTTGCCGAAACAGACTTTGAGAACGGTTGAACACTGGCTAAATCATGACGTTGGGTCACGCAGGTGTCGTTTGAGCTCTTTTTTTGTCAACCTGTCAGCTTGTTGAGGGGGGTGTTCCGCCGGAAAGTGAAGGAATCCCCTCTAAATGAGGGACCCCTGAGTACTCATCCACCAAAAAGCGGCGGAAGGATGATCCAAAGACCCAATGCACCAAAACCACCCCGAGCGCCACCAATTCCAACCTCATGGAAAGCCACCAAAGTGGCCACGTCAAGTCCCGTGCGCTTCCACGAAAAAGGAGAAAGCTTTGAGGGTGCAATCGGGAACCCTTGGAATACCCTCAAACCAAAAACTCAGAACCATGCAAGCAATCCCTAAACAGCCCTTCCAACTTCAGCACAAATGACCAACTCGAACTCTTGCTGACCCCGTGCACCGCGGAAAATTGGACGCCTATAACCCTGCGTAAACACTAGACGTCAATTGAGTCACCCTCAATCAACTAAGTCCTCCGGTATTGCAACGACACACACACACACAACCTTACCATGTTACAACAAATCCGTTTCAGTCAAGCCCCTTAAACACGGGTTCCATTGGTCCGAACCTCCTTTTTGCCTTTGCATCCAGCTGCAACGTGCGCCACCAGCCCCGCATCCAGGATCTCGTTGACTAAGACCTCATGGGATCAAGAAGGCTGTCTCTCAAGTCCTAATGGTGTCATCCAAGAAACGGTTCCCTTATTTCGAGACATACCCATACGGGTGTTCTCAAAATGGTGGACCTTTGTTGGCAGTTTCAAGGAAGACCAAAAGGAAACACACCATTCCAAGGGAGCACTATTTTGCGAAACCGCGAAATTTTGAGGCTCCCCCCCATCTAAAGACAACACCAACCGGGAGAAAAAAGAGGAAAAAAAGCGAAACCTGGCCAAAACGTGTCTGTGTCACATGGCTGTCCCCGCCCGTCGGTACCCCAAACCGTGCCTTGTCATAGCTCCCCCGCTTCTGCGAACGCCGCAGCTTCGAGAGCTCGCTGGCCGCGAAGCTGCACATGGCGTTTTCTCTCGCGCGCCCAGATGGATCTGGGCGCGGCTCGCCGGGTCTTCGCTCCGGGTGAAGAACGGCTGGCGGGAAACGTTTGGCGTGGCGCGTGTCCCAAAATGGCCAGGGGTCAAATCCAAATCGTACCCCCAGTGAACATCCGATTCAATCCCCACTGAAATAGGTTCTAAAATGGGTGGTGCACCTACCCCAACTTGACCCACAGCCAAATTGGTTTGAAGCTCAGAAACATGGCACCAAGATGGCACCCTTGGCAAATGGAAACAAATCCAAATGGAAACAAAGATAACACCTGCGTAATCCTAGCTCTTTAATTTTGAGCCACACCCAAATTGGTTTGAAGCCCTCGAATTTCTTTTGTTCCCTTTGGTTTCTCCTTGAACCAACCTGAAAATGGCACCCTCCAACCAAAACACCACCCATTCAGCTGGTAGATTCACAGGGGGTTGCGATGCATGTGACCAAAACACGCGCTCTTTGGCTCTCAGCTCGGGCTTCGGCTCCGTGATAGCTCTCTGGCTCCAAATGGGTCGTAGGCTTTGCGGTGAAGCAGACATTTCCACCATTGCACACCCATTTTGGCCATTGGCCAGCCGAATTGCACGGGGTTGACGTGACCGTTAAACATGTGGATATTCGCTGTAAGCCCCCCCCCCCGGAAAAAGAAAAACACAAAAAACAAATCCAAGGAGTCGTCCCAGACGCCTCGCCGCAGGTGGGGCTTCCATTTTGAGAAGACCTATCTGCATTCATGACATTGAGGAATGGGTAGATTTAGTTGCCCAGAAACAAAAGGTGATTCACCTTTGAGGGTGACTAAGAATGGACTTCAAGGGAAGCCTGACAAGGTCCGAGGTCGACTTGCGTTGTCCAACCTAGGGGACCTTTCACCAAAGAAATCCAGGGCGCTTGGGAGGTGGGCTCACCACAAGTGCAGTTCAATGTCCCAAGCTCTTGGCTCCCCTAAGCACTCCCCTCAAATAGTGGGGTAGGGTACCAGGGTCCACCACAATTTCCATGTTCGGACCTCCCAAATTTAGCACCTTCACTGGAACGCTCAGATGTCCATCCGAAACATCAGAACCTGTTTAAAGAGAAGTCACCTTAACTTTGCCCAACATGGCACACAGAGAAAAAAATAAGCTCAGGTGATATCCCCAACAGCATGCTGTGCTCTTTTTAGTGCTCGCACCACCCCGCAGCCCTCGCAGAACCTCGTGGAACACTGGTTCCATGGTGGAACCCTGGTGGAACCCTGGTGGAACCCTGGTGGAACCCTGGTGGAACCCTCGTGGAACCTTACTTCAGGGCCGCCCCGGACCACCCCGGAGCCTATCTGGGCTGAGACCCCAAAGCTTTCAGCTGTTGGGGAAAAATCTGACTCCGTTCCATATTTAGTCCATCCTACCATAGTGGACATATTGCCCTGGGGCATAACGTATGGCTCCATTTTGGGGTGGATGAACATCCATTTGCCACCAATTAGTTTTGTTCACCAGGGGTAAAAGGGGTTTTGACAACCACAGCCATGTATATATATATATATGTAGATATACATACATGTATATATATATATATATATGTATCTATATATATATATATCTTTATATTTGGAGACCCTGGTTCTGTCTTCACATGCCGGGCGCGCAGGGCTTTCAAGCTGCAGTCCTTCTTGTCCGTGGCATTGATGCGGAGATGGTCCAACTGGCCATCCCCGCCCGGGCGAGTTGGGAAACCCAACACCAACCATGCCGTGGTCAGTTGGCTCCCTGAATCCATGCCAGGGTTCCTTGGTGTGTCTCTTCCCGGACGGCCCCCAAATGAGTCAGAATCCAAGCCCGGTATTAAAATGGTCGACCCGGACCAATGTAAAGAGTTAAGAAGGTGGCCGCAGCTAATTCTGGTTGGGAGTATCCCTTACTAACCTTCATCTACCTGGGTTTTGATTGTGGCTCACCTTGAGGAACCAGGGTTCCGTTGTTTGACCAATTCAAGGCAGACTTCAACACAGAAGGGGTTGATTCCCCCAGAAAAGAAACCCCTGCGATTCAGTTTACCCAAAGGACGCAAAGAAACGGAACCCTGCCAAGAACACCTTGAGGAACCCGGCAAAACTGGGCTGCCCTCAGATCCCCGCTAAAAGTGACTCACTTTTAGTGGGTTAAATGGAAACGACCACTAAACACTAAAAGGCTAAAAAGCCAAGGAACCGGATGGCTGGGAGCCACCAAGAAAACCATCAGGCGTGTGAACTTCAATGGGTTCGATGGGATTTGTTGTCCAGGCACTTGGCATGTCTCTTGAGGTACTGTCAAGGGGGGGGTGCTGTGAAACCTACGCCGCATGACTTTTCGCTCGACGCAGCAAGCATATTTCAAAGCTCTGTTTTGGTTGGAGTGCTTTTTTGTGGTGTGACCCTGACGCCGCCTTGCTCCCGAGCAGCAAGTTGTAACCCGACACTGGCTCTTACCCGATAGGGCTGAGAATAGCAACAAAGAACCACCTAGACCATTGCGGATGGTCCGACATTGGACAGATTCATTCCACTGGTGACAAGAATGTCAACCAGCGAAAACTCGGCTCCGTCTACGGAAAACCATTCACTCAAGTAGACACTGTGGGTAGATTCCGCCGTTTTGGCTGTGTCTTATTTTGCACCTCCTGACAGAGTCAGCCGTGCAGGTCCCGATTCGAATCCCTGAGTGCCACGTTGCCACAAAAGACCTATGGGGATGGATGCGCCGCTTTTCCTGCAGTCACCTTTCTCAAGTCAGCTCTCCCCGCGCGGCGAAAAAACAGAAAAAAAAGCCACGGCCAACCTGGGTGTCCTTAAAAGGTGAGGGAAAATCCAAAGGACCGCCGGAGAATCCATTATTGGGGCTAAGTTTAAAGACGCAACACCTCTACGGGTTGATTCCAACCATGATTTTCAACCATCGTTCTTTTCAAAAACCGATCGCTGTTTCCCCTGGGGTTCTGGTGGTTAAAAAGATTCGGATCCCTGGAAAGAATGGAAATAGAAGTGTCCCCTAGAAAAGTCCAAAAATCCATTGACAAATGGCCTCTATATATATATATAGGGATTCTATCAGAGAGCTCCACCACGACTTCTTTGATCCTAGAACCCCACCTGCCACCCTTCCACGAACAGCGCGCCTCGTTCACAAAGACCGCGAAGCTGCGGGCGTTGTCCACGAAGACGCCCCGGGCGTCGGGCCTTTCTGGTTTGGGCTGAAGCGCCGCTTGCCGCTGGCGTTCGTTGGTGTCATACTGTGGATGAACGAAATCCATTTCGCACCACTTGGAACCACTGTAGGTCGCCGTTTGGAACCATAGATGTGCCTGGTACCCATCTAAACCAGTGGAACCTATCTATTCTTAACCAAACTAAACGAAAAAGGACACCTATGGTTGGTGTGCTTTGAAGAACCATATTTCCCGTGGTACATACCTCAAAGGTTGAATGGTTGAAGGTGAAGGAACCCCTCAAAAACAGCGTGTGTTCTACCTATAGTTGCACCAACCATACCTGGAAACAGCTGTAAGGGGCAGCTCGGGGCAACTTACGTCGTTTCCCCACATATCGCGAGCGAACTGACCATACGGCCAAGCACGAAACCCGAAAAAATCCAGGACTTCTGCCCTGGCACTCTTCGGGGAACCATAGCCTGGGGACCCCAAATGTCACCTGCGGTTCATTTGGTTTCCCACGGAAGCGACACCAAAACTGAGCCTCCAGGAGCTGCACGTGGGGGTGAGTGATGCTCGTGACCGGTTCCCCAAAATCGCACAGACCAAGGCAAACCCAAAGAAATTCGTTGAAGCAATATGTGGGTTATAGCTCACATTTCCGAGCAGGTTAGCGAAAAAAAAGAAGGTCCAAGCTGTTTAGATCGCCACTGAAATCGTCTTCCTGACAGCAAAAAAGTCCAAAACGGAACTCAGAAATTGAGCTCCACAGGAAAGGTCGACTCGCACCCTAGCATCTCCCGGAAGCCCCGGGCCAATCCCTGGCATAGCCCGAGGAGACCAGGACCTTCGCTGGCACAGCCCCATGCGCATAGAAATCCCCCCAAAAACCGACCGATTCTGTCCACCCAGAGGCTCCAATCCGATTGATTTAGTTGGCCTTCAAACAGCCTGGGTTTGAGACCGGGTCCCAACCACCGAAGCGGGGGGTCCAATGGAGGGGTCGGGTCTTCCAGTGAAAGGTCCAGGAGCCTCAGGGAAAAACCTGCAGGACCTAACACCAAAACCTTTGAGCAACCCGGCTTGTGTTGAGACCTTCCGATCCGCATTACGAGGGTCGACTTGCACCTTGTTGGTATTTCGGGCCCGCCTTCGGCTCTCGCGGGTCTTGGTCAAGGTTCGCAATATCTTAACATGAGTCACGGTCAAAACTAACCATGGACATATATAGGTTGTCTACTAAGAGGTTGAGGACCATCTCTACCAGCCCCAAGTAAGTTGATTTCCCTTTTGTTCCTTTTTCGTGTTTCGCACATGTACACATGAGCAATGAAGTGAGGGGGAGCTTTAGAAACGGGATATCAAACTGTGTGAGGTGGAAAATGGGAAAAATTGGAGCTATGTTTTGTGATACCAACCGTGGCATTGCCACCCCGCGATACCACTTTGCTACAGGGACTGCCTGGAACCACCCACGCCCATGTCTGAGGTCTCCAGTTGGCAGCCTAAGTAACTCCAAGATTCCGATGATCCCACAAAAGTGGAGGTCTACACAAGTGAGCAAGCGAATGAACAAACGAATGGAACGAACGAACAAACAGCCAAAATAAGAAACCAAACCAAATTGTTCAGAAACACAACAACAAATTGTTCAAAAACACAACAACACACACCATGCTCCCAAACTTATATGCTGGTTCTACACTTGCATATCTAAATCAAACCTCAGGACACTCAGGACCCTGACGTGCCAACGATGAGGCTGGACAGATTCTCATTGATAGACGTGAAAAAAGCAAACTTTGGCTACAAGGAAACTACTCTCGCCGCAGACCGAAAACCACGCTGCGACCTTTGCTCAATCCGGCTCAATCCAGTGGATCTCAGCTGTAAGTTACCAGCCAGTTTCCGCTGATGGCAATTTCTTTGGCTTTCGAAGTACCGGGGGCTATTCGCAGCCTGCGCTACGCCGTTTTCTCAAACTCCTTCAGCATCGTTCAGCAGCCCTGAATGATATATCTCTGCTTCCCAACTAGTGATTTGGATCGGTGGTGGTTCGCGGTTGGCTTCCCTTCTACAAGAACTAGGGCTTCAAATCCCCAAACCATTCCAAACCACCAAGTAGGGGCTACCCGAATATCTGCGTCTTGTAGTTTCCAGAGAAAGGATGCCCGTCAGGCAAATCGAAGCTCGCCATGCCAGAAAAGGCAGGGCAGAGCGTCAAGGGCTACAACACTTGCCTTGTTTGGGCGCGTCCACAAAAACAATCATTTCGTTGTTTTGGTTTACTGCGTAACCCTTCTGATAGCTCTTGGTTGACTCCCAAGGCACCAAAGGAAAACCTCGAAAAACAACACGTAGACATACACAAAAAGACACAAAAACACAAAAAGCACAAAACACACACACAGACACACACACACACACAACAAATAATAATAATAATAATAATAATAATAATAATAATAATAATAATAATAAAATCGAGGCTTCCCCCGAGAATTCTGGCGCGCCCCAATTCTGCGCCGGCCTGGGCCCCGGGCCGAAGAGTCTGGCTCCTCGAAGAGAAACCCGGCCTCGTGCAGCCGTTGCTCCTCCTCCTCGCCTAACGACCCGTGGTTTCTTGGCGAGTCATCCGGTCCTCCAGTAGAAGCTTTCCATAAAAAAGGGATGTCAGCTAGGCGATGTCAGACATCAGCCTTGCGGGGGAAAGCTTTTTTGGGACATCAGCTAAAGGTGAGGATGAACACTATGTCCTCCAGTAGAGAGGGCAGAACAAGTTGGTACCTGTTTTCTTTTCTGTAGTCTATTTTAGTGGGGGAACCCTCCCAACCAATAAAGTTGGTGAGAAAGAGCACTACTGGGGGGCCTAGGATTGTCCCCGGAACGTGGGGTTTCAACAGTGGCATTGCCTTACAAAGGTTGGACGCAGCAAGCTGGGATGGCCTCCAATACCCCGGTTTTGCTCAACTCTCAGGGGCTCTACACTCGACCAAAGTCCATTCTCTAGCCGACTGGCAAACTTTTAGAGGATTTCATGGCACCACGTTTGTAATTGAGCCCTTCATATTCCCCCGCAAGACCACCGACACTAAGGGGAACTCGAGTCTGTAGCCCTTCCTGTTTTTTCTGTTCCGAATGCTTCCAAAGTGGTTTGGAAGCCCTTATAGACGCAACAGTGATGTGTCAATCCGATTGCCGGTTTGGAGTCTGGCCTTTGCGGCCCCTTGTTCTTGTTCCGGATAGGTTGCGGCCCCCCCCCCCGCAACTCTTGCGCAAAAAGAAGACTACAAGGCCCATGGCAGGTTGAACACGCTTCAAACCAAATACCAAAGCGCCGCTGTCGATTCAAGCCCTGTCCCCCGCAAAAGCCCGCCAAGCTGACTTTGAGGTTTGATCCCCCAAACATGGCTGGTTTGTGGCCTCCAAAGCTTCAAAACTTTTGGTTGGTTCCCGCTAACCCAAGCTGAAGCGGTCAAAATACGAGGACCTCTTGCCAGAATCATCACTTCCTCAGCCAGCTCTTGCGCATCGCGGCCCAGATCCTGCTCCCGTGGATGCCACATCAGACCACTCCTCTTGCGGGAATGGCTCTCATGAACCGGTCCTCCGAAGTCGTGACCGTGGAGATCGTGACGCTCACCTTGAACAGAGGCAGGGACACCTTGGTCCTGCTGAAGTTCCTGTGCTGTCCAGGGTTCTTGCGCAGCTCGGACGCAGGCTGCATCCGCAGGCCATGCAACTTGTTGGTTCCCATTTCAAACCAAGCTGAAACCGCTCGCGAAATATACACACACACATGTATGTGCCACAGTTTATATTCATTGTGTCCCCAATAACCTTGGATTTTGATGAGTAGCGTAGCCGCCACTTTCCAAATGGTAGGTTGGCAAGTGTACACTCATCCCCGCAAAGTCGTATGCGGTTGTTTCATGATCAGCTTTACAATTTCTTCAATTGAAACTTGAAATGGGTTGGAAAAACACTGCAATCATTGTTAACTTTTGTCCGAGTTCATCCACTGTTTGAACATCTAGGGCATTTCAGGCAGGTATTCGTCCAGATTTCGACCTCCGCATCACACCGAGACCTGGAACCGCCGAAACCGAGCCCCGCTGCACCGGAGGCGCCGAAAAGCCCCGGAGGCCCGGGCTCATGCCGCCCGGCTTGGGCGTGTAGCTGTGGGACCCGATCAGCGGGAAGTACTCGCCCTTCGCCCAAAACCCCCGGAGCACGGAACTGAGCTGCCCTCAGATCCGATCCCCCGCGAAGAGTACGACTCACTTTTTGTGGGTTAATGTTCGAAACGACCACTCAATGCTAAAAGGCGAAAAAAAGCCATAATTAAAGGGATGGCTGGGAGCCACCAAGGGATGGTTGTACTCGACATCCGCGAGTCTCGCGCCGGAATCAGTAACCCGAAAGCTGATTCGATTCCCCAAGGTAAATACCCAGAAACAATGGTGTCAACCATGGTTTCAAAGTGGTGCGAACGGATTTCGTCCATCCACTATATGTCCTGAGTCTCTTTCACATCTAGTCTTTCCCTGGGCCAGTTTGTGGCCCAGTCTGCCGATCGGATCTTGGAGCAGCCCTGTCCACGGGAGTTGTGCACCTACGCCCGCGAGGAAACAAACACGCTTTGAATGGGCAAGGTGGTGTTTAAAACCACCCTATGCGTTGCGCGTGTGTGCATTGCAAGTAGTAGTGTCAATGTGTTCGGGTTTTGCGCTAGGCTCGGTGATCAAAATTGCGTCACAAACGCTTTCGGAGGCCGAAGGGGCATCCCTAAGGTTCATTCTCAGTTTGGAGACCAGCTACCGCAAAAAGTCTACCTTCGCCAGACCATGGGGTTCGTTGCGGGTCGCAAACCAATACCCTTTTGCCTCAACCGTGTGGAGAGGCACCCTTGTACGTATACACCCTATGAACAGTCAAAACCAGTCCAACAAAACTAGTCCAACAACCAGCACCCCCAACAACTGTTTTTTCCCATGTCCAAAATCCCAAGTGCTGTCCAAAAAGCAGCGGTTGGAGGGGTGCTGAAAATGTATCGACTTTATTCTTACCGAGTCCCACAATCGTTTTTTCCATGCATATTGCAAGCATGAATACGTTCATTTCAATCTGCTCGACAAGCTGGACCCCATCTCACATATGTATACCCTTTACAGAATAGGGTTTTTCTTAGCGGGTGGCAACACCAAGAGGTCCGATTCACTTTGTGAAGAGCTCCGTCTTGCAAAATAACCATTTGACACGGATTGAAACCGGCACCCTGAAATCGGGAACGCAGGAATACAAGTCAAACAAAACCCTGGCATTTCGTGGTGGCTAAATTGTAGAATGTCCTGGGCCAACCATACACCAACGCTGAACCACAACCCAACAACATGCCACAGGGTGGCGTGGGAGGAGGGCAGACCAACCCGTCCAAGTTCCTGCCTCCAGGGTTCCGGTCAGCGACGAAAAGGCTTGGGCCTTGCGGAAAACAAACACCGCCGAAACTCGGCGAGCACTGCTGCCTTTTCAGGTTGGTTCATGTTGAACCCTTTTGCCCACCGTACTTCCCGTCTTAGTTCCCATCTTCCAAGTCAACATTCTGTGCACACCTTCATCTTCCCATCTTAGTTCCCATCTTCCAAGTCAACATTCTGTGCACGCCTTCATCTTCCCATCTTATTTCCCATCTTCCAACTCAACATTATTTGCACGCCTTCATCTTCCCATCTTGCTTCCCATCTTCCAAGTCAAGATTATTTACATGCATTCATCTTGCCATCTTGTTTCCCATCTTCCACGTCAACATTCTGTGCACGCCTTCATCTTCCCATCTTGCTTCCCATCTTCCAACTCAACATTATTTACATGCAGTAGCCTGGTGACTACATCTTGGATCATCCAAAGAAACTTGGCACCCCTGAGCTGTTTCTGGTTTCCCCTGGCCTGTGGTGGCACTGGCCTTGCCTTCCACGAGACGGTTTGGGGTCAACATGGCGGGTTTGGGGTTCTCTCCGACCTTTGGTCGGCATTTAAGGGGAAACCGAGGGCAACGGAGCCCTCGGTTGAGAAACACCCCTCTTTTCGGGAACGGATATTATGCCGCGAAAGGACGCCAATGTGGAAAGGGGCCTTAGACAGGCAAAATGGTTCACCATCCCGTCATGTCTGGAATACTGATTGGGAGGTTAGGAGGCCGCTTCCCTTTTTGTTTCATGGAGAACATGGGGTTCAAAACAACAAACAAATCAATCAAAACCACCAACTAAGGGTAACCCAAGCATTCCTTCACCCCTGGCCCATCAAAGTCCGAGTTCTGACCATTTCCCTGAGCTAACGAAACCAAAACTTGCCTTAAGCATATATCCCTACAAAGGTTTGGAAGCCCCCATTTGAGCCATGATTTTGGCAGTCGCTATGTATCACAGAAAGAGCTCTAGCAGCGCAGTGCGCAATTTGCTCCTATGCTCGAACTCACTGCGGTTGGGGCTGCCCCTTCCATTTCGTCAGCGTTTCGCACTTCGGACTCTGAAGACCTGGCCCTTGCAAACCGAGTGGGACAGAGCATGTTTTCCAAAGCCGGGCAAAACGAGCCCCAAGAACCAGGTGTGCCACCCCAAGGCAAAGAAGCTGGCGCCGTGATCACATGATCAAAGTGGTAGGTTGCAGGAAACCAGTGTCTGACTGTGATACATAGCGGCTGCCAAAATCATGGCTCAAATGGGGCTTCCAAACCCAGCAACCCCGCTTTGCAGGGAACCAACAAGGAAATCCCGCACCATTTTGGGCCACACGTCACTTTTCACATTTTGTGAACAAGCTGGTGCATTTAAGCACATTAAAAAGAGGGAATGCAATGACCCTGCCCACTCCACAAACCTCCACCCCGCCCCAACCTCTGCCTACTCTCCACTCGGGTTTTCAACACTGCCCCGAAAACCAACGTAAAAGTGAATACGCAACTGATGATGCAACAAAACAATTTACCCCCCTCCAACAATCATGGCAGCCGACGATCGGAGACTACTTTACTTTTTGGGGAAGCTCCTGTCCACTTCCGTGATTGTTGGATAGAGGGTATGCAACCTGCCAACGGATGCTACAACATCTGATGACATGTCCTCATTGATGACAATATTCCCAGAGGTGCAGCATGATCAGGAAAAGCAGAATTGAGTTCACAGGGATGTGGAAGATAGAAAGCTTCTCCTGGCCACCCCTAAAGATGGGTAAGACCACAAAAGAAAGGAGGACCGAAAAAAACATGCAAATAATAGCAAAGAAGCACACAGAGTATGAGTCTTATGTTGTCATAATTGATTCTCTTGAAACGTATCTGGACCAGACCGGGCAATTCTCAGGACCAATAACGATAACCAACCATTGTCAGTCCATGAGAATAATTCAATAAATTGGAATTAATTGATATGTACTTTCAAGGATTCAAGGAGAAGTGGGTATGTCCTTATTCGAGGATAGCCCTGTTGGAGTGGTCACAAGGGGGAACCAAAGCAAACCGTTGCCAGTTGTTGCTGTTGATTTACTGTTATTTATTTATTTTTTGGAGGGGGGGGGGGAGGGCGCGTCCCTTACTCAGTTCTTGAGTGGGTTGGCCGAAAAAAAGTCCAAACTGTTCACCACTAAAATGGTCATACCACAAAGCGACTAAAGTTCAACTAGGGACGTCCGCGCCGAAGGGGCCCCACTTAACCCCGCAATCCCCCAAGCGAAAAGGTCCCTCGTGGAGGCCTTTCGGAGAGGTATTTTACCAGTGTCAAAGTCATCCCCTAAGTAGGGAAGGACACAACCCCATAGTATCGACTTTGACAAGCCCTAGAAGCGGTCAAAACTATGATTTCAGCAGAACCTTAGGCCCATAGGGCCTTTTGGAAAAATCGATGGATTTCCCTAGTAAATGGGGCATAAACCCCATCTAAACCAGGGCCTTTTATTTTTAATTTTTAAGCAGACCAACCAAAAAGGACACCTATATGGCTGGGGGTCAAAATCCCGTACGCCCCAGTGAACACCCCAATCCCCACTAAAATAGGTTCTAAAAATGGGTGGTGAATTCACCAATCCCAACCAAAATGGGATCCCATTGATTTTGAGAACCACAGCCATATACTTAGGCCGCTTCTTCCTAAATCGACGCCGGGCCCCCGGCCAGGCGCGCTTCCACGGCCCTTCGCTCGTCCGCACAGCAGGCGGGGGGCATGCGGAGCTTGGACAAGTTCCGGGTCACCCGCAGCCGGGCGCAGACCACGCGCTCGCCTGCTTCGAAAGATGCTTGAAGGGCACTTGGGGCTGGAGTTCGCGTATATCCACAGTAGGTTGGAAACGTTGCAACCGTCTTGTTGCTGGGTAAAGGTATTTGGTCCAAAGTCAGCCAGAGTCAAAATTGCCCTCCAAATGAGGGGCTGCTTTTGGTTGAAGCACGCGGGTTTTAAAGGGAAAATCAACAAGAACCCCATCATTTGGAGGACCTGACGCATCTTGACACATACCCAAATGGTGGGAAGCCACTAAAAATACCCGGCCACAGATGGGCCCTTGTAGTGATTAATATGGTTGTGGCCCCGTCTTCAGAACGGAGTCATTTAGATTTAGGAACCAAGCAACCTCTGCAGACTAGTCGGGGGTGAGACAAGCAGTTGATGGATCCACCTGGATGCATCTCCTTTCTCAAACCCTAACCCCCTCCCAGCTACGCGGGGACATCCAAAAATGGGTTCCCTTTGGCTTCCCTTGAAAAGTACCCTACCATGGAAAGCACCCAATTGACCCGCTCATCGTCCAAGGCAAAATTCCGCGAAAGCAACCCATGATGCTCGCCCCCAAAGGCCCACACACCCAAAGCAGCATGCCTGCGACCGCCGGATCGATGTCCAGCATCTTGGAAGTATCCAAGTCCATCCTGGCAACAGCCGTTGAGGGACTGGTTTTCGCGGGAAATTCCAAGGTTCTCCATATAAAAAGGTTCGGTATCACAGAAGTGGGAACCAACCCCTCATTCTCACAACCCTGATTGTCTTTTCGCAGCGTTGCTGCCACTCGACCGGATGGGCGTGAAAACTGGCTAGACACCAACACTCGCGTGTATTCGTTGGGGTGTTGGAGTCTAGCCGTTGATTCCCATTCTCTTCATTCACCTTGCTCTTCCAACCTACATGGTCGAGGCGTTTCTTACTGGGAAAAAAACGAAGGGCTCCCTCCAAAAGGGACCCAATTGAGTCTGGCTCAAAATTAAGCAGGAGGGGTTACGCAGGTTTTGGTCCATGTTTCCATTTACCAGGGTCCCATTTTGGTACCGGTTTTTTGAGCCACACCCAATTCTGAAGCTATGGGAAGCCCCAAAAGAACCGTGACCATGGCCGGAAACTGCTAGGCGAGCTCGTTCTTCGTGATGGGGTGCAATCATCTGAGCTCTGCCCTGCCTTACCATGGGAACCCGAGAAACGAGGTCCCTCCCCTCCCCTCCCCTCCCAAAAGAGATACAGCAATTAACGCAAAAAAAGCTCAGGTGATATCCCCAACAGCATGCGGTGCACTTTTTAGTGTTCGCACCACCCCGCTGCCCTCGTAGAACCTCGTGGAACCGTACCTCAGTGCTGCCCCCGACCACCCCGGAGCCTATCTGGGCTGAGACCCCAAAGCTTCCAGCTGTTGGGGAAAGACAGAAAAATGATTGTGAAACCATTCTGTATAGTTATGGAATTCATGAAGAATGGATCATTACAGGATTATTTATACATAAATAAACAAAATAATAATAGTACATCAATTGAAAAAGTATTACTTGTAAAAAAGCAGCTTATGGTATAGCATTTTTGCATAAATATAATTTAGTACATCGAGATATTGCAGCAAGAAATATCCTCTGCAACAAGGTGCCTTTTACATAGAAGCCAAGAGGCCCTCCCCCACCCCCCACCCCAAAAAACACACACACAAACAAAAACGAGAAACGAAAAAGAACCTCTACTAAAAAACAAAGAAAGAAGAGGGTGCTGCAAAAACCAGCCCGAAATTCTGGACGTCCATGTGAGATTCCTCCAGCTCCCAGCGGCTCGCCTGTGGTTCTCCGCACCAGGGTGCCGCAACCTTCGAGAGCTGCCCCGAACTTCTGGTGCCTAGATAGCCCAGTTGCTGCCTTTTTCGGTCACAGTTGCTGGTTTTTGGGGGTAACTGTCATGGAAAAAAGCAGCAACTGGCGATCCAGGTGGCTCATTATTTTACCTTCGTCAAAGTCACCCCTAAGTGGTGGGTCAAAGGGAAACAACCCCATTTTCTGACTTTGGTAACCCCCAGAAACCGTCAAAATAATGGCCCCAGTCTTTGTTTGGTGGTTTAAACGGAAACCTAGAGGAGAACAGCAACATTTAGCGCCGGGAGTCCCTTGAAAGAAAGACACCTTTGGGTCTGCCACTCAAATGGTCCAAACCAAAAAACGTGGCCAAAGTCAAACGCAGGAAGTGAGGCACTTGGGGTTGGGGGAAAAAGCAGTTGGGGGTGGCCCCTTTCACGATTTCAAAGGGAAACCAATGGGTTGGATCGCTTTGGGAAGCACCAACAACATCCACCAGGTTCATTCATCTGGCGTCAATCTTGCGGTGGAGTTTTTCACATTTGGTGAACCGCCAAAATTCAACCACACAGGCCTGGAAGTGTAGTGGCGGGGGTTCTCAACATGGGATTTATGAAACCAAAAGGACTGGGAATTGGTGGGCTCCTTTTCGGGCAAAATGGTTACACTAGGCCTGTAGCGCCCCCACACATTTTTGCTTGGATGATCATCCAACTCACTGGGGATACTGTGTCATCGGATTCAGCGGAACTTTCGAAACTGTGTTGCGTTCCTTTAGGTGCTTCCCCTGAAACCAACCAAAAAGAAAAAACGCAGGTACACTAAAATAACTGGCCGCCTGACAAGGTTCCTTTAGATGTTCCCCTAAAACCCCCCTAAAAAAAAGCAGGGCTTCAACTGGCCGCCCGACCGCTTGAATGACCTACTTCCATTTGGTTAAGACCCCTAGAACAAAATAAATAAAATATGTTTCCAGTAGTGAAAACAAATCATCTTAAAACCAACCAGGAAAAACAACAATTGAAAAACACCTCTTAAGCAAATGGAAGCCTATGGTCCGCCCCCCGAAACCGCTTCCGCCCGCCGCGCGCCTGATGATCCCATCGAAGAGCTCGCGGAAGGTCTCGTAGGAGGCCTCGTCCCCGGCCACTGCGCCCACCTGAGATCCGCATTCTGCGGGCGACGGCACGCGGATTAACTTGAAACATCTGCTAGGTCCTCCAGTAGAGAGGTCAGAATAAGGGTACCCGATTTGTTTCTGCAGTCTATTTTAGTAGGGGAACCCTCCCCCAAAAGAAGGTAAAAAGGCACTACTGGGAGACCTAGTCTACACAAAAATTCAAACAGCCTGCAAGTCAAACATTCCTTTTCTGGGGGCGCATCCCAACAAAAGTGCCAAACATTCTGTAAGTAGGTCAAACATTCCTCTTTTGGGGCGCGCTTTCAACAACAAAAGTGCCAAACAATCTAAGCAAGTTTCTGAGGCCAACGGGGGCCGATTCGCCCTACGGAGGTCACCCAAACAAATCTCCTCTCAAGTTGCAACTTGGCGGCGTCCAAAGGATCGCCACTTTGGGTGTTGAGGGATGGAGCCGAATCCGTGGTTTGGAGGGAGTGACGTTACCCATTGACCCTGTTCTACCAAGAACGAGTGCTTCAAGGTGTTTCCGGGCTGATTCAGCCTAGGGGTGGTTTGGAGCCGTTTTTGGTGCCGAGTAGCTCTTGGGGGTGTCCCAAAAGCCTACAACCACCAATCCAACCTCGGGTAAGGGATGGCGAAAGCTGAGTGGACACCTCTACCTCGTTTCGCTGGGGGAAATGGAAACCATCCCCTCGTTTGCTCAGCGCTTACACCCAGCCAGTTCAGCTTTGGGTGGTTGAAATGGGCCACTGTGATACCAAAGTGGGATTTCGAGACCAAAAGCAAAACCAGGCCAAGTGTAGATGGCGCGATTCCCCACTTGGGTTTAGTCATCCCTGTTGCTTGCCAAACTGAAAGTAACTTGCGGAATGTACTGTCTTTCACCAGTTTGGCGTCTCCACATCTTCGACTCGAGGTGAGACATGCGAGAAATACCACACGGGTGTTTACATATATATATATATATATGCTACCCCCCCCCCAAACTCCCAAATGTCGACCTTGTTGTTGCTTTCAATGCTATTTGCGGTGGTTTATGCCGTTTTTGTGCTTTGAGGAAAGCAGCAGAAAAAGGTGCCTTAGTTAAATCTATTTAGATTCTTTTTAGAACAAAAAAACAAAAACAAAATCCTGGGAAAGAACGTCCTCTTTCAAATCTAATTTGAAGTAAGCATTACAGTGAAACATATTCTTCCAACAGGAAATCCCATTTGCATCATCTTTAAGACTAGACATTATATTAGGATGGTTCACTGTTAATGTTTGTCTAAGTTCATTGGAAATCTCAATCCTAGAAAAAGAGACCTGCTTCAAAGTCGAATTTGAGAGTTCCCATTAAGAATATTATTCTAACAAACGACTTAACTTCTCGTTAGAACTAGACACTCTACTAGACACATGTCCTTATTAAGTCCTATTTAATGCTGGTCAAACGGTTTAAACGGTTCAAACGGTTGAGTTGGAGAGTTGTTTTTTCCTTTTGCAGAGTCAGATGCAGTGGGCATCACAGTTGAAGACAGACAAAAAGGTCAACATTTGGGGGGGGGGGGGGGGCACCATATATATATATATATATCTACATATGCATCAACCCAGGATTCATAAACATGCACCCCGATATTAATAAGCAGGGGCTTATTCGACTGGGGTCAACATTCGATGTAGGCAGACCTCCAAACACGGCGCTCGGACATGATGTCCCAACTCAACGGCCCAGATCTGGGATCTGCTTCTAGCCAAAGGCGGTGCTAGCGTTTTGCTCAAAACCACCCGCCCGTTTTTCCTTTGGAGGGGCCTGTGCGACCGAAGGGTTTGCAGCCTGGTGCCTTGCTTTCTCCTGCAGATTAACATGAAACCCAAAAACCGCCTATTTGCAGAGGGATCTCCTTTGGTGGATCTCATGTTTAATTTGTAGGGAGTAAATCTCGAGAATCGACCATATCAACTTCAGGATCTAATGCTTAGATCTCTGCTAGGAAAGCTAATCCCGTGACCTGCGCCAAATGCTTCAACCTTGGCATGGTAGCCAAAAAACGTTGGTAGTGGTTTGCCCTCGCAAAAAAGAATGACCAGAACGGAAAGCCCAAAAAAAATACATGGCCGACACACTAGGCTCTTAATCCAAACTTGTGAGCTAAGGAAAGGGTATGCGAGTGGCCATGAGTCAACGAGTTTTGACCTCTCCACGTGGGTCTGCGTCCCTGGGAAACCAAAATGGGGGGTCGTATGGGGTCGTCCTTTGCCTCGCCTTTGGCTGAGTTTGGGTTGCATCGATTCAAGATGCCAGTAGAATGTTGCCCTAGATTCAAAGGGCAAGCTGGGGGGACCGGGCTTGGCCTCCAAAATGATCCAACTGATGCAAGAAAATGTCCCCCCCTTTTCAGGTCCCTTTCAAAGTGGGTGCAAAAAGTCCCAACCTGGCACAGTTGAAAGGAGGCCGCCCGCATCTGGGCCACTCAAAAAACACATCTTTTCCGTTTCATGTTTTGGCCAGCTTACTAGGTCTGAACCCCCACTAAAGCAGGGACACCCCAATCAAAATCAACCAGGGTGTTGTTTTGGTGTTCTTTTGTTAATCTTCTGCCCAACTCCCTAAAACATAACAGGGGTGTGTCCTCCTTTTTTTTTGTGGATAACACGTGTTGGATTCCCTTTGGTTTCTCTTTGAAACCCAACAAATGTGACTCGGTTGCGAAATCTGCTCCCCTGCTAAAAGCTGAAAACTTTTAGTGGTTTAATGTTGAAAAACCCACTAGCAAAAGTTAACAAACCCCATGGTTGTAATGGAAAACCCACTAGTGGTTTAATGCAAGCTTTCTGCTCCCCTGCTAAAAGCTGAAAACTTTTTGTGGTTTCATGGTGGAAAACCACTAGTCCTAACATCCCTTGGCCAAATGCGCGCCACACCCCCCGACCGAGCGGCGGTCTTGATCATCCGGTGGCCCAGGTTCTCGAAGCAGGTCTTCACGCAGCTGGCGAAGCTCACGCCCAGAGGCGTGCGCTGGTCCTGGCGCAGAAGAAAAAAAACGGCGGCCCCCCAAAAACATGGGAACCATGGGGGGGGGGGGGGGTGGAAAAGGGGTGGATCTCAAGCCCAATTCTTCTTGGGGAGAACATGGGTTCCCAAAAACTGGGGGCGTGTTTATGTAGAAAAAACACGGTTTGTGAAAGCGAAGGGGAAAAAAAGAGCTCCAAGTAGTTGTCCTGGCTCGGAAAAATCGGTTGCCCTCCAAAAATGGGAAAAGGGGGGGACCTCCCCCCAAAATATCGCTGTAGAACGTGAAAAGAGGGGACTCTGCAAATGGTGGGTGGACCTCCCCCAAATAATTTTAAGGGAGCAGAAGGGAAAATGCACATGGGGGTGCGACTCCGAACATGGTGAGCTCCACATCTGTTGGTTACCGTTGAACACGAACCCGAAAAGGGCACCGAGACAAAAGAAAACGATGCGGACTTGGAAAGAAGAAGGGAAACCCAAGAGGTCAAAAGGTCGTTTTTGGGCAAGTGTTCCTTTAAGCCACAAATGCGGGACATTCAAAGGTTCTCACCTAGCAAAAGAGACTTGCCAGTGGCAAAGAAAGGAAAGCCCGCTCAAAGGCCAAGAATCAAGGGCCCCTCCAAGAAGGGCGTTCCCCACCATCCCCCACTCCTCCGTCCACCAACTCACCCACCCACCCACCCACCCACCCACCCACCCCAACTTACTAAAAAACACAGTATTTGCAATGTGTTCCTCGTCTGGAAGGTTGACACGCGCGATGCTGGCGATGCTGGGGATGCTGGCAGGAATGCTGGCAGGAATGCTGGGGATGCTGGCAGGAATGCTGGCAGGAATGCTGGGGATGCTGCCAGGAATGCTGGGGATGCTGGGGATGCTAGTCTTGGGCAGACTGTATGTGCGGTGTTTTTGTTGAAGGTTGCGCAAAACGGCATCAGGGCACGTCGCAAGGCCGAATGCTATCGGGGTGCAAATGTCTTGGCTGGCATCCGGATGATGCAGGGGATGCTGAGGAGGAGTTTGGTGCTCGTATGCCTTTGACCCAATCCCCTCCCCCACCCAGCCCAGCACGAGGGTTGGTTTTTCTTTGTCGAGTTTCTGCGAACTAAAGAGTCAAAGGTTTGAGACACAACAGTGACTAAAGCTCTCCAAGGGATGCATTTGACCTGTCATGGTCATTGGTCACCTGTCCTGGCCTCGGGTCGTTTGGGATTGGTCCCCAGTGCGTTCTCCAACTTTGGCCAACTCGCCAAACTTAGGAAGTGTAAGACAGAGCGAAGGCCAAGACTTGCGGCAAACGCAAGTCTAAGGCATGTAGCAAGTCTAACCTGCGAGCACTCAAATGTGGTGAAATGAGCATGCGACAGCCTGTCAAAAAACTCCTTCGACTTTGAGCAACGTGTCACGGTCTTTTGGGCCCTCTGGATTTTAGGCAGCCTGAAAAGACCAACCCTGACAGAGACTAGGTCCTCCAGTAGAGAGGTTAGAATAAGGGTACCCTTTTTTCTGTAGTCTATTTTAGCAGGGGAACCCCCAAAAAGGGGTGAGCAAGGGCACTACTGGGTGACCTAGGAGAAAGTCAAAGCAGCCCGGAAAACTCAAGTCCGATGGGAATGGCACATCTCACTTCAGAGCAGCATGTGGGTCAAAACCCAGGAAACCCCTGGTCAACATCAAAATAGGTGGCACATGGATTTTCATCCACCCCAAAATGGACCCATAGCTTATGCCGAGTTATGCAACCCATGGCCATATCAGGCCAGGTGAAAGGCTGTGCGACTTGCATGCGTCTGCGGTTCTTGATCAACGCTCAACCCTAAACCTAGGATTCAAGACTTTGTCTCCCATCGTCATCTCCGAAAAGGGTAAAAATACCAGACCCACGACATCTGCGGACGTATATCATGTGTCCAAAACCTGAAATAAGGGATCCCCAAGTAAAGGATCTTCGGATTGCAGGTTGACCTAGCACACCAAACATCGGAAAGGCCGACAGCAACCTAGGATCTTTACCACGGCGTTCGAACGTTTTACCCCCCAAATCGGTGAGCTCGCCAATGACGCAGACATGCCAAGGCCAGCACCCAGAATCCTGCGATTCTCAGACCCAAGACCAAGTACCCTAAGTCCTCCAGAAGAGAGGATAGAAAAAGGGTACCCTTTTTCTGTGAACCCTCCCCCAAAAAAGGGTAAAAGGGCACCTAGCTGGGGGACCTAGTACCCATTGAATACCCGTGCCCGCCTTCAAGCGCTGGTAGATGGAGGGATCTTGTCTGAGCACTTCCGCTGCTAAACTGTGCCTCGCAACGGGTCAAGAACAAAGTGGTTTCCCAGGGGGTCTGCCTTCCCTGTTTACGGGTCCTCCCGCGCAAAACAAAGGACACTCCAAGTTCCAACTTGCAAAGTGACATGTTCGGCCGAAGGAAAATGTCTCTCGGGCTTGACCAGTTTGAGAAAACATGTGCCACTGAACAAATGGGTATACATATGCTTGCTTCTAACACAAGGAACAAAAGGGGGGCGTTCCCAAGTGATGCCAAGGAAAATAGACATAAAACATGGATGGGCTCAACTAAGTTGTGTGTTTCTTTATTCCTCTGCAAGCCAGGGCAAGTGCATGTACGTATTTCGTCCCCCACAATTGGGAACGACGTGCGCTTTTCGCTTCAACGGGATCAGCGTTTCGAGGCTCTCCGTTCCGGAGAGAATCGAGGTTGGATCTAGTAGATCTAGCCAAATCGGGGGGAGGGGGAACAAGTCTATCTGAGTCAAAGTCAAAACCTGCCCTTTGAAGGCCCAAAACGCATCGCAGGCCTTGACAGTGGCTCAGGCCCAACCGAGGCCTGGAGCGTGCCTGTTGAAGCGTCCCCCCGCATCCATGCACCATCCAAACAGCTGGCAGGTAGCCGAAAACAAACGCACAGTCCACCCGGAAGCCACCCAAGAGCCGAAAACAAAACAAGAACAGCCGACCAGAAAACCACCCAGCTCCGCCTCTCTGCCACCAGAGACCCCCCTTGAAGCAAGCCCCGCTTTCCCTCAAACCCTCCGGCGGTTTTCCGAAACGTCAAGGCTGTCGGGCTTCAGGGGCACCCACGCGCCCCCTTCTCCGCAACGCTGCTTTTGTCAAACAAGGCCCCCCTCCCTCCCTGCTGGTTGCTACTGAAATTCCGGCCAAAACCGCCTGGGTCCGCTGTATATTTTGTTGGAAACCCTCTGATCTGCCACCCCCACACCACACACCATACACACAGACCTTCCCCGCTGCGCCTGTCGCCCACGTCCGGCATCTCTGCCGGGCACACGCCCTCCTTCCCGAACTCCGCGGAGACTGCGGCCTCGCGCGCGGCCTGGCGCGAGCCGAAGGGGACTTGGATCGGCCATGGCTCAAAATCCCAAATCCCTGGACCAAATGGCCAACTTTCTGATGGCTTCCTGGAAAGAAGGATCCCTGGACAAGAATGGAAATGGAAGGCACCCCTAGCTTCTCTGCGGGTTTTTTCCAGCAACAAAAAATGGCCATGGGTCAAAACGCACTAAAATAGGTTCTAAAGTGGGTGGTGAATTCACCTACCCCAAAATGGTACCCTTGGTTTTGACCCACAGCCAAATCGGTGTGCCTGTTGTTGGGGAAACCCGCAAAATGAGGTGGTGAATTCCTCTTGCGAGTTTTCCTGTTCAATTTTTGGGGGGACACAATTCCTGGGGTTTCCCAAAAAGAAAAACACACCCAAATGAGCACATGGAAGTGGTTCAAGCCGGTGGTTTGTGGGCTTGTGTACACAAAAAACAGCCGTGCCGCCGGAGGAAATCTCGGCTTTCGATCCTAGTGGCCCAAACCAAAAGGGGCGAGGGGCCAAAAGAAATCCAAAACCAAGAACTCGGGTAGACCCAAAACCAATCCCTTGGCACAAAAAACACACACACACACACGCACATACACACCAAAAACACACACGCACATGTTTCACCCTTCTCCATACCAACCTTTGTTCTTGCTTTTTTCCCACGTAGCCCCCAGGCTAAAACGCTCACCCGGCCACGTCCCTCTCCCTCGTCTCCCTCGGCTCCCGCCTGGTCCTTCCCCAGCTCCGCCTGCGCCAGGCGCGCGCAGCCCTGCGCCAGCAGCCGGCCGATGTGCTCCGCCGACATGCCGCGCCGCCGCGCCACCGTGACCTCCGAGAGTCGGGTCCGCTCGAAAACCGATCATGTTTTGGTCTGTCTGATGGTTTAAAAAAATGGTCGTGTCAAAACCGAGCATGTTTTGTTGTTTTGTGGTTCCCCCCTTTTTTTCCGGTGGTACTCCCGGAACCCATGGCAAAGAATTGAACAGTTGCGGAGATCCGCACCCATTTGCGGCAAGGGCATTGTCCCTTACCCTCCAAGTGCCCAAGTTTTGATTGCGACTCAAGGGAGGCGATCGATCCGGAAACGCGATCCGTTGAAATTTGTGGTGGAAAGAAATCAAACGATGCCTGCTCCTGATGTGCTTCGTCCAACTAAAAGCCAAACCCAATGCCCTGAGTGGGTGGAAATGTCCACTCAAAGCGGTGGTTTTGAAAGCCAGCCAGTTTGTCTTGCAAAGGGGACCCCACACATGGTGAGCTTCCCTGGGTCTCAGCGAGCGCATGGCTGTCCTTCTGAAAGTTCCCGGAAACCAAGCCCGAAAAGGGTGCGCACCCAGGGGCTGAAGGCCTGGATGCGGCCGGTAGGGGAAGAGGGGACTGGAAAGAAACCATGCGACCCAGGGAGCTACTCTCCTGCTCCTTTCCTGCTCCTTTCCTGCTCCTTCCTCATGTTGAAGTGGCAGACTCAACGACTCGTAGAAACACCGGGAATCCGGGGGTGCTCTACAGCCCTCAAAACTCAGGGAGCCAGAAACCAAAAGGTGATCACCTATTGGGACCACTAAAAGGGACCAAACACGGGAAACTAAAAGGTCAAGCGTTTGCCCCATTTCGAGAACCGACTGCCCCAAGCGGCAATTTCGGTGTTTCGTCCCCGCCAAGCGGTTGATCGCCACAACTCCCTTCGGGGACTATTTTTCACCATGCAAAGTACTGGACCCATGAAAGTTTGAAACATCCCAGAGACTAGTTCTTCATTGCTGGGCCCATGGAGGTTCAAAACAACCCAAAGACTAGTTCTTCCGAGCCAAGATGTTCACTTTATGGAAGCCAACATGTTGTAACTCACCTAGACTCTTCATCTTGCTTGTGAAAATCCGCCTTGTGGTCATCTTTAATCTCTGGGCCGTGATCGCCGGCGGTATGTTAAGACGACTCCCCCCCCCCAACAAAAAAAGCCATTCTAAATAGAGATTAAAAAACAAAAAACCACTTGTTAAATGGAATAAATCCACTTGGGAAACTTGACCTGTGTGCTCCAGGCTCTACGTTGGCCCCTGAATTCTTCGGCACCTCGTGCAAGGTTCCCAAGGACAAGACTCTCACTCGAAAGCGCCGATGTCAAGCTATTTTGATAATCTCGGGGTTGTTGAAACTTTGTCCTGTGTATGAATATAGTTCTCGTCTAACTTGACAAATCACTTCCAAAACAGATCAGTAGACCACCTAGGTCCTCCAGTAGAGAGGTTAGAATAAGAGTACCGATTTGCTTTTCCTTTTAGTAGTGAAACCCTCCCAACCAACAAAGGGGTTTAAAAGGGCGCTACTGGGGGACCCAGCCTATAAGGCTCCCTTAACTTGAATCCCAAGGAACCCTGCTCTCAACGTCCTAACATCCCTTGGCAAAATGCACCCACTCCCGGAGGCTCCGATCGGCTTTGGCTTTCAATGGAAGACCCGACCCCATTCGACCGGAGATGTTTGGGGTTCTCAAAACCTGGCTTGAGGGCCCAAAAAACCATCGAATTGGAGCTGGGCAAGAAACTTCACGAGCTCATCAGCGCTTCGCCGCGCCTCCCACACGGGGATGCGGTCCCCGTCCTCGGAGAACTCCCGGCGGCGCAGGGGGTACAACCCCAGCTGCCGGCACATGGCCTCGGGCTCAAGGAGCTCAAGGAGCTCAAGTGGGGAGGGGGGGGAGGGGTTGGTCTCTACCCTACAGGTCGATGGTCCATTCTGTCCATCGCTTTTTTTTTCCAAAACCCAATCCGCCGCTTTCGCGTTTGGGTTTGATTCCCTATAGTCTTCCTGGTTCTTTTCTAAAATCCATCGCTGTCCGCCTGCGGGTGGAAAGAATGGTTGGAAGGTGCCCCTACTAGAGAAGGCGGGGGGGTCTCAAAAAAGTGGACTCCTTTTCGGCTGGTGTAAATGGGAATCCAAAAAGAACACCGACCATCTTTAGAGGTCTCTCCTGTGCATGCATGAAATCCGCCAGTTGAGATGGAACTCGCATAATGGGAGAAACCATCTACCAACTGCTGCGTGTTGTGTTTTGCGTCCATCGTTAGTTGATGCACTCATTCTGAGTGGCAGCTTTGCACCTGCCGAAAAAGTCATAGCCACCTGGATTGGCCCATGTGGCTGTGGCTCAAAAAACGGTACCAAAATGGAACCCGGGTAAGTGGAAACATGGACCAAAACCTGCGTAACCCCTCCTGTTTAAATTTGAGCCAAACCCATGTCTTGGAAGTCTGCCCCTTTGGGAACCTCGCTGGTCCCATGTTGAAAGCTCCAATGGCCCGGCTTCTGTTTGGGCTGGGATCATATTCCAAGGCAAAAAGGCAGCGGGGAAGGATCCTCAAGGTTTGCCCCAAAAATATGTCGCGGTGAAACAAGCAATCCCTAGGTTTGACGTATGGAATTCCAGTGAGGAAGGGTTGGGGCCGACAAGAAGCCCTTTCTGAACTCAAGATTCTTAGGGATTCTTCAATTGGGCAACTGTCAAGGGAGAGGGTGGAATCCTCTCACGATTGGGGCATGTTCCTGGTGTTCGGTTTTTGTGTTTGGTTTTGTACCTTTTAAGAGCTGCTGGTCTCCAGTACTCAAAGAGGCAAGTCTGAAACACGCCCAAAGGACCCTCCAAGCGAAGTAGGCCATGGGCGTAGTTCTGATAGAAATCCTTATCATGACTGTCTGTATATGGGTATTCATTTTTTGAGGGGACCCCGCCCAGCCCGAAAAACACATGTAATAAATATGGTGCGTGTTCTTTTGGCTTCCCTTTAAAGCCACCCAAGAAGATGCTGTCACAAAAGATGTTTCCCCGGAAGGTATAATCCTCACTACAGTACTAATCCCAGAAGGCCTACGAAGAATTCCCTGGTTTCGGAGCCTTCATGGTGAGCTGCCACTGCTGGGAACCCAGAACAATTGTCTAAAGGGTTCAGGCCCGCCCTACCCCAAGTAAACATCCCATTCGGGCCATGATCATGGCTCCTACTGTTGGGAACCCACCAAGTAAACAACTTTGGTGTTTTGAGCATTGCCCCCGCACAGTTTCACCTGTGGACTGCCGCTGGTGGTCAATCGGCAAAGAGTACCCTGGCGCCCCACCGAGAAAAAAAAAAAAAGTAGCACGCAAACGAGCATAGACATATGGATGTAGACACCGCGCACCACACATACCTTCGCACGCACACTCGACTTCGGACAGGGAGTCCCTGTCCTTGGGCCCCTGTTCAAGTGAACCTGTCGACCGGGGCTTTGGAGGATGCCAAAATTCTAGGGCTAACTTCCATGTCCATTCTTTCCAGGGATCCGAATCTTTCTAGAAAACCACAAGCCCTGAGAAATGGCGATCGGTTTTTGAAAAACGATGGCTGAAAAGAATTGCAAGGAATCAACCCCCAACTGTCACATGCATCGGGTTTTCCGAACCCTGTTTTTTTTCCCATGGGTTCCAGCTTGGGCCCCAAGTGAAGCAACCGTTCGATCGGAAGCCGAAGGAAAACCAGAAGCGCACCCGACCCCGCCTTGAGCTTGGCCTCGTCCGTGGCCAGCTTCGGCAACATCAGCCGCGCGCTGGCCTGGGAAGCGTTTTTTGTTTTTTTTTGTTATTTTTGGACCAAAATGGGCCATATTAAGGCCAGAAAATAGGGCCACTTAAGTTTAATCTGGAAAAAAGGGCCAAAAATTGGCCATTTAAAAAAAGGCGAATTTGGGACTCCCCCAAGAATGGGCGCCATACTGTGGATGGTGGCGACATCCGCTTCTCGCACCACCGAAGTGAAGCCCTGAAATGATTGCCATGTAAATGCCAACGAACAATGGGTTCTCGTCATTTCAACTTGGTGCAGGATTTGTTCCATCCACAGTATGTCCAGTAGGGAAATGGATTCCCCTTAAAGCCAAACAAACAATGGGTTCAACATGTTTCAACCATGATTTCAAAGTGGCGCAGGAGTTGTCCATCCACGGTATTTTTCGGTGAGTGAAATTGTTGAGATTCTTTTGAATATACTGAGATAGTGAAATAACCCTCGTGTCTCCCCGAGTTTATTCGTGAGATGGCAAAGTGGAGTTGTACTCTGGCAAAATGGATTTGTAATATTTGGGTGTCTCTTTTCTTGAGGGTACCTGTTTTTTGGTGGCTTTCACGGCAAATCAAGAGGAAAGGTGGTGCACCGGGCAAAAATCGAAAAGGACACACCCGTATCTTCCATGTGCTTTTTTGCTCCGTGTAAAAACAAAAAGTAAAAAAATCAGAACATGAAAAAACAAAGTCATTCCAGCAAATGGAAGAAAATCGGTTTGTTCCTTTAGGGCTCCCCAACAAAACACGCACCCCAAAATGGGTAGCCTCAAAAAGACGCACCCACATTGCGTTGCCTGGTTTTTTGATGGAGACCCACCTCGAAAGTGGTTGGTGGACATGAATCCTTACCGAATTCTGATTTCCACCAAACCATGAATCAAATTATGAACCATCGCCTGGTGCGACCCAAATTCGGTCGAAATCCGATCGTCGATGGTCAAACTCATGGCCCAGAAAGCCTGGGGGGCGGAGCCCAATTTTGCCAGGTCCGCTTGGGGGGCAACTGGAGAATCTCTAATTTGCCCAGAGCCTCAGGGTTGAGTGCCCCAATGTCCAGGGTGACCCTCTGTCAGCTGCAATGTTCAGGGTTGAGTGGGTTGAGTGGGTTCCAGGTTGTGGAAGCTCCAACTAATTTCAGGGAAGACTTCTCGATCTGCAAGAGGACTTGATTGACCACCTCCATGCTGGACATGCCGACCGGGAAGGGAGTGACAGAAGCCTCAAGGTCGAACAAGTCTAACCATCTACGAGGCATTCAACCATCACAACCTCAAAACTAAACACCTCCTTGAATCCTCCTGTTGGTTGAAAAACTTAAAATAGTTGCCTCCCCTCCTTCGAAGCTTTGGCCCATGAAAATGACATAAGATTCAGGCGAATTACCACATTTGGCGAACCTTGAAACTGGAGATATGCCACATTTGTTTCTTGCCAAATGCCCCATCACAAAACAACCGCCTCGCAAACCGCAATAAGTCCTTAAAAGGATGTCATTCCGGCGGCGAAGTTCGGACAACCCATTTCGGAGGTTCCCTCAGAGTGGATTGGGCAAAAAAACAAGCCTCACTTCCCAAAAAGGTAGCAAGCTGCGCGGGGAGCGAACTCCAAATCCCAAAGAAGCAAAAGCTTGGGCCCGGGAAAACACATCTTTGATGCCGCGAATGCTGGCTTTGTCCATTGCGATTTGATCATACGACCTTTGAGGATCACTCTTGGCATGGTGAACTCAAACGGCAAATCACTTTGAGGGTTTCCCCCCCTCTGATACAGACCCAACTGGCTTCAAGGGAAACCCCCAACCCCCCTTCCCCCCCCCAAAAAAAAAAAACGCAAACAATGCAAACACGTCCTGGTATGTTCGGTATGCGCGAGCTCTTCGAACCCCGGAAAAAGCGGAACCCTTTCACCCGACCCCCTCTCTCGGCCTGCAGTGCGGCGCCCACATCGCCGGGGCTGAAGGAGAGGTAGCCCAAGTCTGGCGCTTTTCGCGGAAATCCCACAGCAACCAGCCATTCATTGCGAATTGGTAGGAAAATCATGAAAATCCATTGGTTGATTCCCAAGCCCGTTGACTCTTGAGAAGCAGCAAGCTCCAAGTTGCTGGTCCTCGGCAGGGAATGAGGGAATGACCCTTAAGCTTGTAAACCATCCCTTTTGTTTTCCTTTCAGGTGAGCCCTGGGTTCATTCCCTCGTTCCCTCCTGCGCACCAGCAAGTTTAGTGAGGAAACCACATCTACTTTTGGGGGTTCCTCTGACTCGTAGGTTCCTCTGACTAAGTTTCGCATGGAGATGGTGATCACGGATTTCCAGCGGATGGTGAGACACAAACAAGTATCTTGAAACAAAACTCATGCCACCCCACAATCAAAAAGAAAAGGCCCAAGACACCAAGGCTTGAGTCTACCGAAAGGACCTATGCGCAAAAACAAAGGCGCCCAAGGTGGGCTTTCTCGGGTGTCTTGAAGGGAAGCCAAAAGCAAGTCCATGGCCCTGCGATGGGGGACTTCGGGGTAACTTGAGGAGGGGGTCTACCTTGAAATTTGCTCGAACGCTGCCACTTGAACTTGTGGGAAAGAAAGGCGTTTTTGTTTCTGTGCCACGGAAATGAGTTTCGCCCCGTGCCCCATGGAACAAGGTTTGGCTACCCTCACAAAACACACAGAGGGAGTTCATCTTTTTGCCGAGGGTACCCTTTTTCGAAGTTGCTTTAAAGCGTATTAAAGGGCAGCTCAAAGGAACACCACCATCTTGACTCCATTTCATTCGTTTCTTTTTTCGAGAAGGGTCCGTGCCATGCAGACCTAGAGTCTATCCTTTCTACAACCAAGAAGCCTAACTAAAACCACTACCCCCCCAAAAAAAAAACACCACAACAAGTTGCCTCCAAGGTTCCGCTTCAGTGCCCATTTGGAACTTGGGGCTCCATTTCGGGCCATTTCGGGGGGACCCAGCCAGGTACCGACCGCCATGGCTCGCGCCTGAGGAGCTGAAGCTGTGGCCCTTCGCCTGCGCTTTTCCACGCGCGGGAGAGGCGCGGGAGAAGCGCGGGACGGGGGGGAGCCCAGGGCACCCCAACGGAGAAGGCTCTTCTGGGAAACTGAGTGGAGACCTACCCGTTAAAAGGTCTAGTTTAAGAGGAGACTGAGACAAACCGAAAAAAACTGCTAGGAAGCCAATTCCTATAGGGAGTCCGAATCCTACTTTAAGACGCAATCTCATGAACTTGTCAGCAAGCTAGACACATACTCGGTGCTCTTCTTGGTTCCACCCACTTTTGTTGCCATTCGTTGAACCGCCAAAAATCAGACGCGAAACTGATTTGGCTGTCATCTCAGCCTTTGGCCTGACCGCTCTTTTCGGCCAAGACCCGTTATACCCGTTTTCGCTCGATGCACAGCGGCGGTTCAGTGGGCCCTTGTCTTCCTGCCTTCTTCTGTTCTTTGTTGAGGTGTGTGCGTTTTTTTTTTTGGGGGGGGGAACAGTTTGTCCAAGGAGTTTGTCTAAAATCCTTTAAATCCTTCCAAACCCCCACACCAAACACAAAAAAAATCGAAGGAAGCTGAAGATGATGAAAACCACTCACTGGGTCAGGTCACTTTACCCCTCTCGCCTGCCACCTTCAACTTTTGGCCCGGTTCCCTGAAAATTCACAAAGAATCCGCCATGGGCTTCACGTCCGGCAAAGCCCTGGCAACACCATGAGTCGGTCTTGTGCTTCGGGAGATTGGGCTGAGGCCTCTTTCTGCCTGACGCGTGTGGGGCCAGGAAAAAATGAGCAAACACAGGTGTGTGTGTGTGTGTGGCTTTTTCTTGAGGGCACCTTTTTTTGGAGCGGTGTTTCAAGAAAACTACCGGGAAACCCACCAATTTGGGGGAGTCCCCTTTTTTCTAGACACACCCAAGTGCTGCGCTTGGGGCAACCTCCGACACTCGCAACCCTTTGCTCCGACCGCTTTCTTGGTGGACACATACGCCCCGTAGCCACTGGCTTTGTTCCAAATGAACCCATGCACTGCCTGAATGGCCCAACAGGTATCAAGCGGTTGCCGCTAAAATGGCAAAACCAACAAACAAGTGCCTAAAGCCCAAAAACTCAGACCAAAAGCAGGCAACGGTTCTTCAAGGCTGTGGTGCAAGACATGCCAAAATTTTGAGACCCCTCATGCAACCACCGAGCTCGACCCGGTTTTTTGGGCCATCGAAACTCCGCAGCTGAAGGCCTCCAGGTATTTGCTGAGGGCGGCCTCCACCCGCAGCGTGGCATCGAGAGCCTCCAAGCTGAGCGGTGGCCAGAGACGCAAGGGAATGATTTTGGCGGGTTCAGGATTCAAATCTTCCATTTGCTTAAGTCCGATAAGTCCCCAGAAAAAGGGAAAAAAGTGTAAAAAAAAAAAAAAACGTGGTGATAGATGAGAAACAAGATTCATTTCAGCAAATGCTTCAGAACTCCGGCTTCATCCAAAAGATCCTATGCGAAGTGGATTTTGCACTGAGTCTGCGGTTTCAGAAGGGCCACATGATGCTCTTCGAAGTCCTTCTTGGTTTTCCTGGTGGCCCTTTGATTCACACCCCATGATTGGCTTTGGAGGGCAAAACGACATCCTGTTTGGTTGCTTGAAATTGAAAAGGGCAAGAAGGAGCACACAAACATTTTGGAGGCCGCATTTTGAGACCTAAAGTCGCCGAAAGGGACATGCCATGGGCCCGTTGGATTGCACCACATCCGATTCTGAAGCAGGGGTCGGAGCAGGATTTCCCCTGAATGTAGAGCTCTGTGTGCACCGTACAAATAGAGCGGTGCTCGATTAGCTTTGCGCAAAACAAGTGCAATTCATGGTAAGGACTCCATGCAAACCGACGCCCGAAAGCGGCGGTAAGACTCTCCGCCAATAAGGCAGGGGCCATACCAAATTCAGACCATTTTTTGGGTTGGTAGATTCGGAACCCCACAAGTTCAGGTGGGAACAGGCAAGCACACTGACAGGATGGGATTTGGCAGCCGAAAAGATGAATCCGAAGGCCAACTCCCCTGAATCGGCGGGACGGGGAAGCCTCTGTGATTTGCTCGAAGCAAACATGTCATGCCTGGATTTGAGTCCCAAACTAAAACCTTTGCGAGGTCACAAAACCAGATGCCCCCAGAAAACTCGGTTGGTCTCGTGGTTGGTCTCTTTTCGGTTCGCGCGCACTTCACCCCTCCTGCCACACGTCGGCGTCGGGCCGTTGGTAGGCCAAGCGCAAATGATCTGCCTCGCAAAACGAAGGCTTGGAGCTCCCATAGTCCAAGCTGCGAAACAAGTTGCGAAACAAGAAGGACAACCAAAATGATGTGTTTCTTGCCTTTTTGCAAGATGCTCCAAAAATGAAAAGACTTAGTGAGCAGAAGTCAGGACCTATTGTTTATCTTGTGATTGTTGTAAGATGATCCAAAGACTTTGTATTGTCTAGGGGTTGATTCCTTGCCCATTCTTTTCAGCCATCGTTCTTTTATCAAAAACCGATCGCCATTGTGGCTTTCTAGAAAGAAGGATCCCTGGAAAGAATGGGGAAGTTACGCCTAGAAGAGGGGGGTTCGATGAAGGAAACCATCACATTTTCCGGGTCCCAATTGATTCGGGGCATTCAGGCAAGCAAAAAGGCGCACCTTATTCCAGGTTTGACGCTGAATTGAAGCCTTGGTGTCAAATGCCCAACATGTACGCTTGAGCCTTAGTAAATTGAGATCGGGATGCAAGGATCCGGGCTTGCTATAATTAAGCAAACTGGAAAATCGGGCATCCCTCAGCACCATGGCACAGCCGGCGGAAAACGAAGCCCATGTTGATTCAGACAGGTTTTGCCTTCCTCTCAAAGCCCCTTCTCAGACCAACTTGTTTAACGCGCTCTTGCTGTTGCTTTGTCTTAACGTGATACACCCATCGGATCACCTTTGGGGGACAAGGTCTATCAATCCGCCAGTTTCTACTCGCACTGAAAAACCAAAGGTCAGCCAAAAAAACCCGCCACTTTTTGCAACCCGCCCCTTTCCTTTTTCGGTAATCCAAGTCACCCGCATGTCTCTTCTGCACATGTCCTTTCAAACCCCGAACATCTCGTTGGAAAGGACGCACCGACACACCCAGCTCAGGTCAAAAGACCCGTCCAGGTTTCGCCGGGGTCCTCTCACAAACTTCCGAGGCCAAAAACCCCATGGGAAGAAGAGCAAAGGTCCTGGGAAGGCTCGAGAAAATGCTTTGGAACCCGCCGTTCTGGTCGAAGCTTTCTCTCGAATTTCGGTGGAGTTGGGCCAGCCGGCTTAACGTGTTGCAACCTTTTGGCCTCCCGTTCAAGTGGACAGGGGCAGATTGTTCAAACACACTTCGATCCAACTTGGTTGCGGTGAATTTGAGCAGCCGCGGCCCAAATCTGGGGAAGGGACTTTTCGAGCGAGGATCAATATCCATCAGCTGAGAGTTGGGTGCTTCGCGCCATGCTCTTGTACGGTTGCTTTCACCCCATGTCTTGTCCATACAGCCTCAAGTTGGGCTCTGTAGGGATGAACCCCTTCGACCCAAACCTCCACTTGCTACATAGAGACACAAAAGTCGCCCCCCTTTTTGCTTTCTTGCGCTAGGGGCTATAACTAAACCAGATGGCACCGCAACCAGGCCATGTGTTGGGGCTACGGCTAAACCAGGTAGAAAACTACTTATGGCCACGGGCTTTTGAACCAAAGTTCCACGCAGGAAGGCTGTTTTTCTAGGTCCTCCAGAAGAGAGTCTAGAATAAGGGTACCAACTTGTTTCTTTTTAGTAGGGCAACCCTCCCAACCAACAAAGAAACGGGTGAGAAAGGGCCCCAATTGCTTGGGGACCTAGTTTTCAACCTGACGACTTCCAAGGCTTTCGCTCCGCTCTCGCCTCGTTGATCCACGCCACGAGGTCTCCGCTGGCGAAGACGCCCCGGGCCTTTGACGGCGCGGCGCGAAACGGCGCGGAGGACGTGTCTTGGGCCGGTCGGCCTGGGATTTCAAGGGTTCTTGGCTTGTTCGGTGAGAGGGTGGAGGGTGGAGGAGGATGATTTGGTTTTTCCGCAGGGGCAGGTCAGCAAGTTGGGATTTTTGGAGAAGTGATCGGATGATATGGGGCATACTGGAATGGTGGTGGCAAGCTGTTGATGGTTGGATATTGTTGCTAGGTATTGTTTTCGGGGAGGGATTCAGGGATCTCTGGATTTCCCTTTCAAAAGCTGAACTTGCTGGTGGTTTCCATTGCCACTTGAGAAAACTGGACATGGAGGAAACCCTGAGATTCCTCTGAACTTCTTGGCCAAATTGGCATGAGGCCAACTTCCAAAGCTTGGGGGATCCATATGGGGCTTCATCTTGTTTGAGTCATGCTTTCAAGGGTTTTCCATGGTAATCGCCGTTTTCCTTTTTTGCCAGTTGGCAAATCTCTCAAAACGGTGTCGGGGGTCTTTTGGATGTTGGATGGTCCCAAAAGAAGTCCTGCTGAAGGGGCCGCTGAGGCCGGAAAAGCAGAAGTGAAAAGCTCCCAGGTCAGAAACCACTCGCCGCTGGAAGTGTCTGACAACTTCCCGGTTTCGAAACCAAGCCCAGGACCCTCCGGCATTGTCTGCCAAAGTCGAAAAGGCATATTGCATAAACCTTGAAGGGGGCAATCCCCCTAACTTCAAACATGCAAGACATCCCACACGTCCCTCTGCTGCTTCTAGGTCCTCCAGAGAGAGCTTAGCATAAGGGTACCAACGTTCTTCTGCTTTGTCTCTTTTAGTAGGGGAACCCTCCCCCCCGAAAAGGGTGATGTTGACCCAGGATTAATAAACCCGTCCCATTATTAGGGGAGCGTTCCCTCCAAAAGTGGTCTGAATCCCCACTAAAAGGGGACACCCCCCCAATCCGTTCTCAACCAGGGATTTATTAAAAAAATCCGGGGTTAACATGAAAAGGGCACCTCGCTTCCTCGCTTCCTCGGCCGCGCTCGCGACGCTCGCCTGGACTGGGCCTCCGCGCGTCCGGCCACTGGCGCCCCAGGCCGCTGGACAAACTCAGCCCGCTCTGGGGCTCCTGCAGCAGCTGCCCCGCTGCCTGGCGAAGCTGGCGCTCGAGTCAGCGCGGGGTGGCGGGGGTTGGGCCAAGGGGAAGGGAATAGTTCACCAGCCGAAACGAGCTACTTTTTCCCGTTTACTTCTTTGTTGGCTTCCCCAAACGCGTGTCTCCAAACTTGGGATCCCCTTTCGGGTTTTCTTGAAACCAAAAGGAAACCAACTCCTGGAAAACTGGGCTGCCCCCAGATCCCCTGCTAAAAATGACTAACTTTAGTGGGTTGAATGGAAACGACCACTAAACACTAAAAGGCCAAAAAGCTAAGGGGATGGCTGGGAGCCACCAAGTTTTGCAGGGGGTGTGCGGGGGGGGGGAAGGTTTTTGCGAGCGTGCCCTCTCTTGTCGCTGTTTCTCTTGGGGGGGTTCCCTCGGGAATGGTACATTAGTACAGCACAATTGTTTCTGGGAGGGCTGTCTGTTTTGGTGTGAAGAGATTGTTTTGTCGGTTGTGAGTGTCTTGCTTCTTCTCTCTCTCTCTCGCTCTCGTAATTTTCGGGCGACCATCATGATGTCATGTTCTGGACATATCACGCAGATCCGTCTGTTGCAAAAGAATTCCTGGAAAATCTTCCCAACTAAACATGACCACGCCAAAGGACTCTCACTCGACCTGCTTGCAGTGGCTCAGCAAGGGATCTAGGGACCCCTTTTTGAGAGCTCTGAAGGCTGCAGACATGAGTGAATACAAGGTGACTTCTCAAAACCGCAAAATGCAAAATCAGAACTCCGCCGAATCAGGGTTGAAGGAAACCCTGTTGCATGTGTAAATCGCAATTGTTTACATGACCTCCGTGAGGCTGCCCTGCAGATTGACACACTCAAAATGCAACAAAAGGTCCTAGATTCGAATCTGTTAATGATTCTCTGGCGTCCATTTTAGTCGGAGTATCCCTGGTCAAGTCGCCCTGTTTTTTTTCACGCCAAACCTGTTTGACCCCAACCCCCAGTTCCGGGAGAGAAACAATGAACAACTGCCACCCTTTTCTTGTTGCTTGAAGTGGTAGAGGCGTACCCAAACGATTGGGAGGTCGACCGGATTTCGTCCCAACCACGGCAGTCAAAATCGGAGCAGTCAACAAAAATATGGAGAAGCGGAAGACAGCATGCCCATCTCTTTCTTCCTTCTCCAATCTATGACTTGAATTGGAACTGTGGACGGACCAAATCCTGCACCACCTCAGAGACCCTAGAAGGATGATTTCCCTGTAAACACCCAACAACAATAGTTTCCAAGTGCAGGATTTCGTCCATCCACAGTATGATTGGTAAGAAGGTGAAAGAGATAGCCCTCACCCGCCGACTAAGCCGCCAAAAGGAGTGGCCCAGCCTTGAGCCTTTGCTCCATGACCTGGGACATGCCGTGGGGCTGCGCGACAAAGGACTGGGAGCCCCGCAGGGGGTGGTACTCCCCCCCCGCGAGCAGCTCGTCCTGAGCGGCAAAAAACGCCATCGCGGTTCCTGCCCAGAGGCTCCCAAACAACCAGTAGGTCCCGCAAGGTGCCCTTGAATCCCCTTTTTTGGTTGGGAGGGTTCCCTACTAAAATAGACTACACCTAGAGGCTCCCGATTGATTTAGGACCTCCAAACAACCTGGTTTTGAGACCCTGGGGTGTCTAATGGAGGGCTCGGGTCTTCCATTGAAAATCATTGAAAGGTCCAGGAGCCTCTGGGTGAGACAAACCCGGCGAAGACCCGAGAAAAAGAGGCAACCTCATGGAATTTCAAGGGGGGCCAACTGAAGAGGCACCTATGCTACCAAAACCAGTTGAACTCGCCTTAGGGTCTTCTGCTTGTCCTGGGCTCCAGGGATACCCGCTTCCCAGTTTGATGATGCGAAGACTTGGCCCGAAACTGAAACTGTCCGATGACCGCGACTTCAGGCAAGCCGCGTTGTATGCTGAAATGGGGTCCGGACCCTTTTGTCTGTGGGTCCCGCACTTTTTGCAAGCGGCAGGTGTTGGCCATCAAAAGACAGGCATGATCCAGAGCTCCGGGCACTTGCACCATGGGAAAAAGGAAGCTTAGCTTTTGGGAACCTATCACCAGGAACCACTGAAAAACCAAAGGCTGGTACCTGGCGGTTCCTTCAGGGTGCATCACTTTTGGGAGCGGAGAGTCCCAACAAACCCAAGATAGAGAACAAACCGGCAAAGGCAAGGCCGCAAAACGGCGGGGTGATAAACGCCAGCTGTGATTCTGGTGATGCCATTCCGCGCTTTTTGAGGCACCCTCATAATTATGATCATAAATCCCTGTCCACCAAAGGGGTGCCCCATTGAAATTCATTGGCTTTTTGGGTACGTGTCAACCCCCCCGCACCAAAACAAAAAGAACGTGCTTTCTTCGTTGTGGCTTCCCTTTGAATCAACGAAAGGGGGACCGTGTCCTCAAAGGACCCGCATAATGTTGACTCAGAATTCATAAACCCGTCCCATTATTAGGGGTTCCCTCCAAAAGTGGCCTGACCCAATCAACATCAACCAGGGGTTTAACTTCATCCGGGGTTAACATTAAACCAGTGGAACCCCTCTGGTTGGTATGTCTTGAAGAACCTAGCCGCATCTTTGGGAGGTCCCAGATGTCTCCTGGCCCCTCCCTCGGCTCCTCGGCGCAGAGCAAGGCGTCCACCAAGATGCGCTCCACCTCCCGACGGTCCTGGCGGGGTCCAGGGCCCGTCACAGGCTCGGTGTGGCGAACCCCTGGGAAAGGTCCTAAAAGGGCCAGGGGCCCAGACCAATGGCCGGGGGTCTCGAAAACGTCCAAACACACAGCTTCATCCACCTTCAGCTCTCACGACAGGCGAGCCCTGTGCTTCCCGCTCCAGTGCATCGTTCTCTGTGGGGAAAACACTGCACCACTGGGTGTCTTGGTCACGACCTTCTTTAGCAGCACCCCCCAAAGAACTGCTTGGACAGCACATCAGGTTTGGACGAGAAAAGCGGTCGTTTGTGGGAAGCTGGGTTTTCAGGGTTGGCTGCAAACATCGTGGCGCATGGGCACCCCCCCTGCCCCGAACAGGTCAGACCCCAGGGTCAGATGGATCGTGCTCAAAAAGGGCCAAGGGAGGAATTGGTCGGTGGACAAGTTTGGTGCTCAAAAAGGACTAGGCAATGCGTTGCTTTTAGTTGTTTCTAAAGGACAAAGGAATTGGTCTCTATGGGTTCTCCATTAGAAGGGCCTCCTGGGGTGACCCGGGTGTCCAGCAAAAAGTCCACATGCTGTGTCCAGACCCTTCATCCGTCGACATCTTCATTGGGGATGCTCATCATTGGTGCGGGGGGATTTCTGTCCTTTTCCCTTTTTGGAAATAGAAAACAGAGTTTCCTCCATTTCCCTGCAAAAGTAGCAGTTTCAATTGACACCGCCAGTAAATTGATCAAATTTTGAGCGGAAAGCCTAGTGACCTCTGTCAAACTCGTTTGGTGTCCCTTTGCTTTTTCTTGAACACTTGTCCTACTGGACAAAATCCACTTCGCACTTGGGACAGATGAAAAACCCAATAGATAGTGGTTCATGAACCTCTAATCCCAAGTGGACTCCGCAACCCGCAGGATTTTCGACACATCCGAGTCAAAAGGAGTCCCACCTCTCGCTCGGCGGAGGGAAGCATGCGAAGGCCCCGCAGGTTCCGGCTGCAGATCACCTAAGCTTTTAGGGAAACCCGAGCCGAGGGCCCGAAAGGAAAAACACAGACTCCGGACGTGTCTTGGGACGTGAGCAGTTCCAGTGGGAGTTTTGAACCGCCTCAAAGTTGAGGTGGCTTGCGTAGGCCTGATTTGTTTCTCTCCGAGTAACCCTGCGTGAATTACTCCATCGCCTGATGGGCCAGAATCAAAACCAGGTATTCAAATGGTCGACCCGAAACCCATGGCAAAGAATCTTTCTATCAGCTTCCCACCAATTGGTGCTTTGGACTGGTGGCTTCGTGGTTTAGTGGTTGCCTATTTACCCACTGCAAGAACCAGGACTTCAAATCCCCAAACGAACAATCCAAACCACCAATCGGGGATTACCTGATTAAACGTGGAGAATGATCGATAGTGCCCGCAGATGTGGCGCTGGACTTTTTCAGGTCTGTCCCGCACCACCACCCCCCCCCCTTACGCAGCAACCCCCCCCTCACCTCTTAAAGAAGGGGGGGGGGGGTCCACCACCACCCCCCCCCCCGCTCAAGCCCCCCCCCCTCAGGGGGGGAGGTCCACCACCACCCCCCCCCCCCCCCCTGCACCGCAAGGGGTGGGGTTGCACCACCCCCCCCCCCCCGCGCAACTTTGCGGGGGGGGGTACCACCACCCCCCCCCCCCACCTTGAGCAGCTGTGCAGCTAAATCTTGGTGCCACATGTGAGCAGGGGTGCAACTAAATCTTGCTACAAAAAATCTTCAAAAGTGGCGGGCAGCCCCCCTATGATGTTTCAAGGGTGAAGGTGTGATGATTCAAAGAGGGCGGGCGGATGTTCGAAGTGATGATTCGAGTAGAGGCGCAGTTAAAGCTTGTTGCAAAATGTACTAAGTAGCGGGGGGGTTGGGGGGGCCGCCCCCCCCATGATGCTCGAAGAAGTGATGATTCAAATAGGCGCGCAATGCAACCTAGGTGGAACATCAAGGAGTGATGATTCAAAGAGGGCGGGCGGATGTTCGAAGTGATGATTCGAGTAGGGGCGCGTCTAAATCTGGGTGCCAAATGTACCAAGTAGCGGGGAGCTGCGGTCAATCCCTGCAACAAATCTAAAAAAGCAGCCGGGGGGGATTCAAAGAGGGCTGGCGGATGTTCGAAGTGATGATTCGAGTAGAGGCGCAGTTAAAGCTTGTTGCCAAATGTACTCAGTAGCGGGGGGTTGGGGGGGGCGGCAGCCCCCCCCCATGATGCTCGAAGAAGAGCTTGTTGCCAAATGTACTAAGTAGCGGGGGGGTTGGGGGGGGCGGCAGCCCCCCCAGGATGCTCGAAGAAGCGATGATTCAAATAGGCAATGCAAATTCTTTTTTTCAAGGGTGAAGGAGTGATGATTCAAAGAGGGCGGGCGGATGTTCGGAGAAATGATTCGAGCAGGGGCGCAGCTAAATCTTGTTGCCAAATGTACCAAGTAGCGGGGGGCTCGAAGAAGAGCTTGTTGCCAAATGTACTAAGTAGCTAGCAGCAGTCGTTTTGGGTGGTCCACAGTCTTCTTCTCAGAAAAGTGGTGACGGAAATGGAAATGGAGGGGGTGGTGGTGGTGGTTGCGTGGGTAGTGGTTGTGGGGGGGGGGTGGTGGTGGTGGTGATCATAGTTGGGCGGGGGGGGGGGTGGTGGTTCTAGCGAGGGAAAAGATGGTGGGGGGGGGGGGGGAAAAAATGGAGAAAGTAGGGGGCCTGGGGGGTGGTCTGTTGATGGTTGCCTGTTCTGGTTTTTATGTTCATCTCAAATCTATGTTCCCCCTTATTCGTTTTGAAAAGAGGGTTTTTAGGGAGCTTATTTATCGTTTTCGTTAAGGTAATCATTTGGGTAATTGCCCCCCTTGTTCATTGTTGGGCTGGGGGCAAACATTTTTTTCATTTGAAGGAGGTAGCCCTTTTAGTAGTTATCAAGTTCTGGGGCGTTGGTGGTGTATTTGTTTTCTCTCTCTCCCTCGTCCTTCCGCCACGTTGCATCGTCATCATCATCAACATCTTCGGTCTTGCCGGGATGCCCAGATTTTGTGAGCGGAAACAATCTCACCGTGCAAGAGACTTGTTTGCTGAGATGACTATGAGTTTTCTTGCCGTCAGCCTTTTGTAGTGTATCTGAGTAAGCCCCTGACTTAACTCATTGACAACTGTCATCATGTCGCCGAAGAAGACGACTGACGGTGGCTATGTTCAGAAAGAGCAGGAGGAACAGCCAGAAGTTCCCGAAGAGGAAGCAGAACAGTCAGAAGAAGAGGAAGCAGAGCAAGCTAACGAAGAGGTGGATGCACTGGCTCAGTTGATGATGGCTCAAGACCTTCTCGGTACGGTGAGCCTCTCCAGTGACGCTAATCTGACAGAGATTCACAACGCTTTACTGGACAAAATCAATGAGATGGAGGACATCAAGAAGGCTGTGGAAGTTGAACAGGGCATCCGTCAGAAGGCTCAGAAAGAGGCCACTCGCAAGGTAGAAGTGGCAAAGGCGAAGGCTATCAAAGACAAGGAGAACAAGGACAAGCGCAGTGGTCGAGAGTGGTTCAAGATTGTGACGCCGTCAGGCAGGGTGCTCACGCTCTTTCTGGACAAGTCCAAGACGCTGGGACGACTCCGTAAGAAGGCAGTCAGGGCGTGCAAGGAGTTTGACATGGGCAGTGGCAAGAAAAAGAAGAAGTGGAATAGCATCTGTCTGGTGCTCCCAAGCGGGAAGAACCTGACGGCAAAGAGCGGTCGCCCCTTCCTCTACAACCAGAATGAGTTGTTGAACCAGAGGGTGTTGTTCATCATGTGGGAGGAGAACTTCAACACAGGCAACTACCCACAGCCCTTGAACCTTCAGGTCAGCATGGACCATGAGGAGGTGGATGAGAACACAGATGACGAGACAGACAGCGACGACGATGAGTGAGTGAAGCCTCACAATTCAGCCCACATAGCCTTGTGATTGATTTCCTCTTTGGCTTCCGAAAGCAACGTTGTGAGTAGAAGCATCACCATCTAGAATAGAGATGTCTCACTTGGCTTTGGCACAGACCATCCATGACCGTGGAAAAGGCTATTTGATGCAGAGCATCAGCTGTGTCAATTGTGTGCACCAACTGTGTCAATTGCTTTTTGTTGTTGCATCTCAAGTTTAGGAAGCTGAGAACACTTCATCAGTCAAGCTGTGAAGACATCCCAATGGCGCTCGTTGTTGTCAAGAAGAACGGCTTCCTCACCCTCAAGGTTGTCGACAACGCCCTTGGCAACATTCCCGTGGTGGATTGCGACAGCGACCTTCATGCTGACCTGACCGTCCCGACACTTCTCAACTTGACCAGTTGCTCTCGTCATTGCTTGGAAAACGTCATGAGGACAGCAAACCTCCAGATGTTGGCAAGGGACAACAAGCAGACTTTGGCTCAATCAATCTTGGACAACTGGGACGACGTTGTGATTGCCTTTGCCCATCTCAACCATTGCCGTCCTGTCTTGATCCCCTTTGTGCTGTCTGATGCAGAGGAGGAAGCAGAGGAGGAAGCAGAGGAGGAAGCAGAGGAGGAAGCAGAGGAGGAACAGCAACCACTTGCTCGCCCAGTCCTCCAGGAAGAACCGCTTGAGGATTTCGCCTTTGACGAGAAGGCTGGTTCTTCTGGTGTTGCACTGGCTTCTGCGCCTATGTCCGCTCTCTTTCACTTGGACGGCACTAACCTGAACGGTAGTGAGGCAGTCGTTCGACCTTACCACCTGTCCTTGATGATTCCCTCCAAAGATGGCTTCATCACTATGGGCTACTTCTTCGACGTGCAGACCACTGGCACAGACATGCTCCATCTGCTTGACGCTCTCTCTGGTGGTGTTCTCAACCAGCAGAACACCCTCATCAAGATGGGTGAGAGCATTGTGCCGAATTACGAGAGCATCTTCTCCTACTGCAACAACGGTGGCACTCTTTGCGTGGTTCCTAAAGTCCAAGGAGGTGTCCGTGGACGTGTTGCAAAGAAGCACCTCAAGCGGGAGGATGCAATGGCGGAGTTGCGGAAGTCCATCAAGGTCAACATCAAAGGCAACAGGTCTGACGACAGTTCAGATTTGGAGGGCTTCCCACAGTGCTTCAAAGAGTTCGTGCAGGAGACCAAGCAGAAAACAAATGAACTCAGCATCATTCGCCAGAGGATGGGCGAGGGCTTTGTCAACACCTGCCTCCGTCAGTGCGACATGGAGAACTTGCGTCTCCTTCATGACATCATCACCTGCAAGGCCAACGGCAAAAAGCACCTCTCCACGGAGGAAAAGATAATCAAAGGCATGAACCATGTCTTCCCTCCGCTTTCCATGCTTGACCAAGCCAAGACCACCATCCAGACTGTCAGGGAGGATTGCCTTGCAGAAGTGATGGATTTGTTCCTGTCTGACTACCACAAGTATGAGAACGGAGAGACGTTCATCAACTTGAAGGAGTTCACCCGACAGGTGGAGGTGGAGATTGGACGGAGGTCGTCTGAAAGTGTCTCACACGCAGACCTGTCATCTTCGGGATGCTTCATTCAGTGAGAGAATTCAGTGTTTTGTGTGGAGGCATGGTTAGAACTGCACAGAAACCATGCAAAGACCAAGTAGAAACCATGTGGATGTGTGTCTCAGAAAAAAAAAGCCTCGCTGTGTGAGCCAGACCTTGCTGTGTGAGCCAGACCTTGCTGTGTGAGCCAGACCTTGCTGTGTGAGCCAGACCTTGCTGTGTGAGCCAGACCTTGCTGTGTGAGCCAGACCTTGCTGTGTGAGCCAGACCTTGCTGTGTGAGCCAGACCCCCCTTAATTGGGGAGTTCGCCCCCCTTAATTGGGGAGTTCGCCCCCCTTAATTGGGGAGTTCGCCCCCCTTAATTGGGGAGTTCGCCCCCCTTAATTGGGGAGTTCGCCCCCCTTAATTGGGGAGTTCGCCCCCCTTAATTGGGGAGTTCGCCCCCCTTAATTGGGGAGTTCACCCACCGTTTCTCCTTTTGGTAATCTCCGCATTTGACCACCGCGCCGAGGTTGGGAAGACATGCTGACCTTCGCCTATGCGACTGTCGCCTTTCAGGTGTTGGGATGGGTTGGGTGTCCCTCTCTTTTAACCTTCAGTTTCCCTAAAAAATATCTAAATAGGTATAATCACATGAAACTATCCATCACAACTACAACCAACAACATGAAATAATTCTAATAATTTCATATTAGTAGAACTATTTAGATAATTATTTTATGGAATAATGCCCATAAGGTAATGAAGTGAAAGCATCACTATAAAACCTTTTGTTTTCATAATTACTGAGAGATTGCTTGACTTGAGACATTGAATATATTTGATGCGACTTACTCCTAATAAAATTATATGTTATCTCATGCTTTTTGTTTTGAAATAATGCTTCGTGGTAGTTCTGATACGACAGTTCTTTTCTAACTTTGTGTTTGACTACACCTTTTGATTTCTTATGTTCATCATCCTCACCATGAATTGTGAAGGCATAAGATTTAGGTTTTAATCCAATGAATTTAGTAATGATTTTTCCATTCACTTCGTCCTTAAACATTCCTAAGACCTTTTTATTAGTTTTGTCAAAGCATGGATGTTCAGGTGGATAGTCGCTAAAATCCATGTGTTGCTTTATATCATTGAAATCCTTATAGACATCATCAGTCATTGTTTGAATTACATAACTGTCAGTATCAGTATATATCAATTTGATGTTTTCATTATACTTCTTTTTCAATACATCATAGTAAAACTTATACATATGTAGTTTGCTTAAATCTAAAATGCTCATTCCTAAGAAAATGGGTTTATCCAATTTCAGTTTTGCTTTAGTTTTCTCAACTCCTACGAGGTTTTCATTAATAATAAATCTATTTTTGAAAGTTGGATTATTAACGCATTTTTCATATCTTACCTCATTATCAACTAATTCAAAGTCCATATGATTTCGTTTGTCTTCCATAGTTTTTCCGTACACCGCGTTATTCATTAATTTGAATAAATCTTTCTCAAAATCGCTTTTGGCTTCTTTCCTTTTACCTGTGTTAAAATCAATCCACGGTTTCAACCATGCCCTCTGTTGAAATTTTATTATCCTATGGACTTTTGTCATTTTCATTCCCATTTTCAAATAATACTGTAAAGTCTTGATATGAACCACATATTTTTCTTTATCCTTTAGATTTAATATTAACTTACTTGTTTTCTCATCCTTGGGATTTTTGCCATCATAATATATTTTGTAGACTTGCTTTTGATAATCAGAAAGCATACTAACATTTACATTCATTATTTCAGGCGCTAGTGGATAGTCAGAGTGGAAGTCGTGCAATGTTTCGGGATATTCCAAATCAACTTCCATAATATAACCGAACTCATCGTTTTCATTCCATTTTTCAACACTGGGCGTTTTCTTTGCCCACTTGATATTTTTTAGCGGTAATTTCTGGGACATTGCTAAACCATACAAGTTATTAGCATCCAAGTAGCTAATATAATTTGATGGCTTGTTCTCATCATATGCTTCCCCCATATACTTATTATTTGCCACTGCTAATTTATGACTGACTTGACACATTCCACCTCTCATTCCCTTTTCAACCATCTCAAACATTTCTTGGTCATGCAATTGTTCTATTTCAACACCAGTTTTTAGAAGCATCGCGTCCCATGCGAAATTTGGCAATGTGTAATAATGAGCGGGGTCTAAACCGTAGTATTCCATACACAAGTCTCTAAAGTTTTCAAATACATCGGTCAGTAGTAAAACATCAGTTCTTAAATACAAGTCGTGATACTGCCCGAGTGTTCTAATCCCGAAGTGCTTCCATACTTTCAGTGCCCTTTCATAATCTTTATCACTTACATGTTCCTCACTTAATTTACTGTAAAACGCTTCTTTCGGTGGTAAAGCCCTTTCCTTAAATCTTTCAAAATCATCAAAGTAGTCATAGGGATAAATACCCTTATCAGTTAATAAATTCAAATCTTCATCGGTTTTAACATATGGGTTTCTAACGCTGTATCTGAAATTGTTCTTCCAATTCTCACGCTTTTTATCATCCTCATATTTACTCAACTTCACCAACTTATCCAACGAAGACGATAAGAAACTGAAACTGTCCTTGAAACAAAGATTTTTAAAACCAAAGGTTATAAACTTTTCGCTGTTCTGAGCGATACATTCTATTTTAGAATTCTTGTTCAATTCGTGAGCCTTGTTGATGATTAAGTGGGCATCATAGTTTTTAAGGTTATGAAGAAACACAGGGATTTTATAATATCTCATACTAAATCGTAGATTGCAGTCCTCGTGGGCGCAACCTCTATACTGTCCCGTAAAGTGGCAATGGTCCCAACACTTCTTTTCTCCTTCCTCAAATTTGTTTCCACAAATGAAGCAGTTAGTGGCATTATTGAAGTCCTCCCAGTCCTTCTCGGTTTCAATACGGTCTTTGTCCTCCTTCATTTTCTCCAAAACTTCCTCTCTGACTTTATTGATTTTCTCAACAAATTTATCCATACAATCCTGACCTCTGTATAAGTAAGGCTCACTACTTCCGGTTATAGCATTGACTACATTAATCATAAAACCACACGGACGATGATTTTGATATGATGTAGTTTTAGCTTTTGCCGATTTGCTTTTAACATCAATTGGCACAGTTAAACATTCAAAGTCGGCATATATTACGAATGGAGCTTTAAGTTTCTTGAAATGGTTTTTGAATTCTATTGTTTCACCTGCTTTTGGCATTTCTATTTTTTGACCCTCAACTGCTAGACATCCTTGTTCTTCGTGTTTCTTTAAAAGTTCTTCGGTCTTGAAACCATGTGAGCAGGTTCTACAGTGATACTTCTTCGCCTTCATCTTGTTAGTCTGACTACTCATTAACTTATCATAATTTTTGATATAAGCGTAATGGGATTTAACATCATCAGTCAATTTAATCAAATCGATTTTGTGTTGTGCTTGTGGGTTGTTG